GTACATTTCATTTTGTTTAAATTACTTTTTTTCTTGTTGATTACCTTTCATCGATTAATAGAATAATGAATAAAAAGTATCAAAACTCTGCCAAGTATCCAATTATATATTATAAAACATCCCCAGCCATACTTAATACATGTACAGTGTCATTTAAAGAATCAGAAACAAGAATCATATTGTTATCAATTTTTACCATGTTACTGGGACAAAATGTTGAACTATCACCACCGTTGTATGCCCATTGAAATTGTCCTTGATAATCAAACACCAAGATTCTGCCTGTCATATCTTCATCTAAAACGTCTATTACACAAATATTATCAGCAAATGTTATGATCTTAAGTGGCCACGTGAACAGTTTCTGATTGTTTATATCGTATTCATAGGTATGTTGTATATCACCGTTTTGGTTTAAAATCACAATTCTTCTGACGCTGTCGTCTGTTGACACATGTGTAGCAGGAATACTGTCAGTCAGCCCTACTATAATTTGATTGCTTTCTGTTACGTGGACACTTATAACATATAAAGGAGAAAAGATTTTGAATGTTTTCAATTCCCCATCGCTTGAGCAAATTCTTAAATAACTGTCTCCAGATGATACTAGAATTTCACCATTCTTTAATGTTGCCATATCATATATTGGAATTTCATACTCTTCCTCAACTTTAAGATCGTCTTCAATGTTCACTTTTTGGCATTTTTCCCCTGAAATACTTACAATAAACGCCTTGTTGGAGTTAATCATTAATATGTTAGTTTCATGTTCAATTTTTGTTGTGTGGATTCTGGCTAGTGTTGGATCAGGTACTTTGTAAAGACCACCAAACATTTTACTTATTTGACATTTAAGTATATTTCCAGGAATAAACTTTGCAGACTTATCAATTTCAATCTGCTCAATAGGTACTTCTGGTAAATTCGGATTAATGGTATCCTTTTTCGAGAAAATACTTAAGGCGTGATGAGACATTAATATTTTTTCCAGCTCTTCCATTGTTTCTTCCCCTTCGTGTCTAATATTTGTTGTGACATGAAGTTTTGCTTTAATTATTTCTCTTGTTGTATTCCATTCTGTTTTAGTCTGTGTCAAAAGTTCGTCAGAGTATCTAGTTACAGCCTCTTTTACTTCTTTCTCTCTCTGGCGAATCTTGTTCTTTAATTCTTTGTAATCTTTTTTCCTACCTGAAAGGAGCTTTTGTAGTTCGTCTTCATCATTTTGTATGGAATAAATAGAAGATTTTAAGTTATCCAAAAAACGCTTTTTTTCAAAAATGATATCATTATAAACATCAATGATTTTCTTAAACTCATGGTCTTTATGGGTCTCGATTAAACAATCCATACAAGCGGGTTTGTCACAGTCTTTGCAATATGCATAACATATCTGTGCACGGTGGATTCCACACAGCAAGTTTTCAAGATCCACTTTACGGATTGCATTGGCATTATCCTCACTTCCACAGTCTTTTAAGTTAATGATTTCATGTTCCTTTGATGCTTTACTTTTGCTATGAATCCTTGAAGAACAATTTTGGCACAAAAATAAGTCACAGTTAATACATTTACATGTGATTTCTTTGGATTCGTCACAGAACTCGCAAAGGTCTTTATTTCTAGTCTCCTCTTGCAAAGACTGCGAAAGGGCCATAATTCCGTATTGTCTTTCCCTTCCAGTGCATGCAACATGCAGGTACGTTTGAAAATGACTACAGGCTGTACGGTAGACAATTTTATAGGTTATACTACTTTAATGTGTTTTGAAGGTTACAAGAGATAATGTCGATTTTTATCAGTGTACTCAATAGATATTTTAATTACATCATAATTTCATATAAAGGCAACAGTAGTATACCGCTGTTCGAAACTCATAAATCGATAGAGATAAAAACAAATCCGGGTTACAAACTAAAACTCATGGGAAACGCATCAAATATAAGAGGAGAACAACGACACAACAAAAACACAACATTAAAATGTAACGCACACAGAAACTAACTATAATATAACAATGGCCATTTTCCTGACTTGATACAGGACATTTTAAGAAAAAAATGGTGGGTTGAACCTGGTTTTGTGGCATGCCAAACCTCCCGCTTTAATGGCAACGTCAAACACAACACCAAAACGACAACATCACATGACAGGACCACAATACAAATAAATGGGAGAACATAAAGAACAAAGAAACACACGAATAATAGCTAACAAAAGGTACTAGGCTTAAAATTCAATACGCCAGACGTGCGTCTCGTCCACACAAGACCAACCAGTGACGCTCAGATGAAAAAAGCTTGAAAGCCAAAAACAAGTACAAAGCCGAAGAGCACCGAGGACCAAAACTTCCAAAATGTTGCGCCTAACACGGCCAGGATTTTTTGCCTGGGACAAGAACATCCTTATTATTTAGAATAATTTATAATTTTGCAAACAGTAAATTTTATAAAATGACTATATAATAGATATACATGATAAAACCGAAGTGGGGACTAACTACAGAATAAAAACGGATACATTACATAAAACAACTTAATCCAACATCTAAAAATACACAGCCGAGTTAGCCAAAGCCTCAACGCACAAAGTGACGTCACATTTGAAATTCTAAGAAAACACACAAAGTGACGTCACATTTGAATTTGTAAAAATATTTCCCAAAAATAAGATAGGATTAGGATGGATTCAAGATTAGATTTGTAATACTGACATTACATTTATTAATAACAATGAAAATTACAATACTTATTAATATCAAATTGTGGTAGTAATTAGATAATTAATTGTATTATCTAGCTATGTCGGTGTTTCTTCTGAATCAAACTGTAAACCAAATATATCGTATAAATTTCGTTGAACCAAACTAAAATCTAATAAATGAAGGGGGTGATTAATTATATTTACCATAACACACGAATATCACAGAAAAGACGTTAAGACATTTGACAAAATCCGACGAGAATAACAAATATAACATCAAAACTAAATACATGAATTTGGGATAGCAAGGTACCGTGACACGTCTTATAGCAATGCGGTTTCACACTCAGCAAAACAGTCACAATCGGGAATAAGTCACGTTCGGTAATTAAAAGATCAGACGACGTAATGACAAACCACAATCTAACACGTGGTAAAAATGTCCTTAGTTAGTTTGGACAAAGACACATCGTATGGACAAACCAATTCGTGATGGTGTCCGTAAAATTTACGGAGTGTCATTTTTAATCTGTCCTCCTCATAACTTTGTTGGATCAGTTTCTGTGTAAGGAGCACACTCCTGTATATAAAGTCCGTATAGTGTGAACAAGCACGAGAATAACGTATCAATTGAGATATGTAAACACCATACGAAGAGGCAGAGGGTATGTTACTGCTGAGAAATGGGAAATTGATAATTGGGAAGTTTATCATAGATTTGAGTGTGAAGTCGTCCATCTGTGTCAATATTGAGGAAAAGGTCAAGGTATGAAGCAGTCCTTTTAGTATCAGTAGTATCCTTAATTTCAAGTTCACTGGGATATATGAGATGCAAGTATTGGCTGAAATATGGGTTATTCAATGATAGAACATCAATATATCGGAAAGTAAAATTAAAGAATTTCGCAAGGTGCTTTTTCTTTTTGTCTTTTAGAAGGTTCTGAATGAATTCTGCTTCATACAAGTACAAAAACAAATCGGCCATTAGGGGTGCACAATTAGTTCCCATTGGAATACCGACTGTCTGTTGAAATATAAATCCTCCAAACTCAACAAATATATTGTCGATCAAAAAGTCCAAATTTACCTCGGAATATTAGTCGTCGACCAATAAAAATCGTCGTTACAGACGAATTGCATTAGAATTTGAGGAGCAGGATTTAAATATACAAACATTTTAGTTATTGCATATATAATATATATATAATAGTACTTGAAATACTCCCTTTTCTACTAGACTGGCATACAGAGTCAGGTCTTTATCTTGCTTACTGAAAAGGTAACATTCCGTTCCTTCGGATTTTTAATATTGGTAATTACGTAGACCTGGATTCACTTTCACAAAAGAAATTTGACTTATCAGCCTTTATGGACTTTTTATGAATACTCGGGATTGGATAAACATAAAATGAACATTAAATAAAGAAAATACTTAGTTCAATCTAAAAAAGGAGACTATCTAATACACATCCATTACATACTAAACGAAAAATAGACAGCAACCAACTACAACCACTGAGTTACAGGAAATTTACCTCGGAATATTAGTCGTCGACCAATAAAAATCGTCGTTACAGACGAATTGCATTAGAATTTGAGGAGCAGGATTTAAATATACAAACATTTTAGTTATTGAATATATAATAGTACTTGAAATACTCCCTTTTCTACTAGACTGGCATACCGAGTCAGGTCTTTATCTTCCTTACTGAATAGAAGGAAAGCATGTCACCTCACCTGTAAAAATGTTTGGACTCCAAACCGATTTCCTGCACTCGTTTACAAATTCCCATATCTCCAAAAAAGTATAACAAAAATACTGAACTCCAAGGTAAATTTAAAAAGAAGGAATTCCATAAAAGTGACAAAATCAAACGTTAGACTTTATCAATCAACGGAACGAATGGAAAACAACTGTCATATTCCTGACATGGTACTAGCATTTTCCGATGAAAAGGTGGGTTAAACCTGGTTTTATAGCTAGCTGAACCTCCCACTTGTATAACAATTGTTTATTGTTCCTTTATATTGACAAAAGTGTTCTATCATTTATAAGTGTGTGGCTTTTTGACAAGTAATATCAACTGCAATATGAAAGTATTCTATAGATATGACATTTGTCAAACTATTCTATTTCAAAGTATAACATACCAACTTCTGTGGTGGGCATGGTTCATACCACATAATTCTGAAAGACGAATGCATGATCAATAGACAGCTCATGCCATGTAGAACATTAACTAATGCTGTCCCATGTAGTTAAAAAGTTTTATGTAGAAGAAACTTAATGAAAGTGTAAACATATTTTAAATCTTTATTTTCAATAACAACAATAATGCTTATCACATACAAAACATTGCACAATCAATGATTCAACAAAAATATTCTTACATGTAAGTTGTCCATGAAGGATATGTATCACCTGCTTTTTCATATTCTAACAACTAACTTTTTTATACATTACTCTCATATATGTAAATAACTGTCTTTTTAACAAATCCTACTATAATCCATTTACTATTTTTAGGTAATACATATGCCATAGGCCTAAAAATTAACAATGTGCATGTTTGAGTATACTAAAAATCATTATAATGAAAAAAAATGAACACAAAAAAGAGGTGCACAATGGAATTATATAACAAGATATAAGCCTTAATTTCACTGAAAGTGATTAGTCAAGAGTGAGAAGCTGTGTGGGGTAAGGTATGTCCTTATACATTATGCTATTGGAGAAATTAACTGGAAACACGAATTCTACTTAAAAATGAAATTAAAGGTATATAATGGCACTATGTTCTGAATATTTACTAATAATTTCCCTCAGTTAATTCACTAGTTTAAGAACTGTTTGTTAATGAAAATACAATTGTTATGATGCAGAACTAAGACAACTAACAGTTATTCTTGGTGTGTCACATCAAGGAACACAAGACAACTAACATTTATTCTTGATGTGTCCTATCAAGGACCACAAGACAACTAACAGTTATCCTTGATGTGTCCTATCAAGGAACACAAGACAACTAACAGCTATCCTTGATGTGTCCCATCAAGGAACACAAGACAACTAACATTTATTCTTGATGTGCCCTATCCAGGAACACAAGACAACTAACAGTTATCCTTAATGTGTCCCAAAAAGGAACACAAGACAACTAACATTTATTCTTGATGTGTCCTATCAAGGAACACAAGACAACTAACAGTTATCCATGATGTGTCCCATCAAGGAACACAAGACGACTAACATTTATTTTTGATGTGTCCCATCCAGGAACAAAAGACAACTAACAGTTATTCTTGATGTGTCCTATCAAGGAACACAAGACAACTAACAGTTATTCTTGATGTGTCCTATCAAGGAACACAAGACAACTAACAGTTATCCTTGATGTGTCCCATCAAGGAACACAAGACAACTAACATTTATTCTTGATGTGTCCCATTAAGGACCACAAGACAACTAACATTTATTTTTGATGTGTCCCATCAAGGAACACAAGACAACTAACATATATTCTTGATGTGTCCCATCAAGGAACACAAGAAAACTAACATTTATTCTTGATGTGTCCCATCATGGAACACCAGAATACTGGAATGTTTATACCCATGTACAATTTCAAACCATAATAAACAATACAATAAAGTCAAAAGTGATATTTAATTTTTATAAAAATAAGGAGATAAGGTATGATTGCCAATGAGTAAACTCTCTGCCAAAGTTCAAATGAAGTGGATGTAAGCAATTATAGGCAACTGTTTGGCCTTCAACAATGAGAAAAACCCAAATCATATAGTTGGCTATTGAAAGCCCCAACATGAAAAATATAAAACAAATCAACTAAGAAGACTAACAGCCTAATTTATAACAAAACAATTCACGAAAAACAAATATATGACAGACATGAACCAACAACAACCACTGAACTACAAGCTCTTGACTTTTTGTACATATATGACATGAATTCAAATCAATTACCAGTATCGTCCTTGTCGATGATAAGTTAAAAACAAACGCTCAACTGTCAGCAGGCAGCACATTTTTCTTAACACAATTAAAATGATCTTGACAAAAAATTGAATTTGAGAGATTGCAACACTGGGGCATTCTATCAAACGTTTTAAATTGTCACTTTTTTCCTTCACCACCCCTGCCTCCTTAAATAAAGAAAACAACCCAATGTCACTTATACCATTTCAATACATAGTTTCAAGATACAGAAGTAAATTTGAACTACAAAATCAAAATTAATTTGTTGCAGTTGTGCAAAGTTTGAAAATCAATGTTCAAAACCATAAACTCAAAGTAACACAAAAAATAAGCTGTTATTAAAGATCAAAGATATTAACATAGTTCAAACTATTTCACAATGCTTATAACCACCAAACACAGATTAAATTCGAATTTCAGTAGTCTCACTTTCACTGTTCTTGAGTTATGTTCCTTTGTAAATTGAAAAATTGTAGGATTTGGTGTATATTTACAAGCGGGGGCATCTGTGTCTGATGGATACATTCTTCATTTATTTGGGGTTCAAATTGAATCCAGTCACACAGTATAAATATAAGGAGATGTGGTATGATTGCCAATGAGACAAATTTGTAACAATAAAAGATTGATTGCAACTATACAAATATATTACAGTTTCTAAATTAAACATAAAAGCTTAATAATTGTTAAATTCAATTCTATTTTTTGCAAGTGGCAAGACCTTATGCAGGACATTACCTGTGATTAACTCAGACTTTTATACTTTAGTGCCTACCTAGATTTTCTGAGGAAGATGAATCAGGCCTTAAAACGATCAAATTGATGTTAAATAAAATGCTTGTTTTGGGCCCCTTTTTGGGTCCCTAATTCCTAAACGGTTGGGACCATCATCCCCAAAATCACACCCAACCTTCCTTTTGAGAAAAGTAGGGTTAGTGGGCAAAAATTTTTAATGGCACTACATGGATAAAAACCAGAGGATTCCAAATATCTGGCCAAAATTCAAAAACAAGAGGAGCGAACATCCTTAAGCTGTAGCCTGTACAGATATACATGTACCACCATTAAAAATAGCATTGAAAGTATATATCTGATTACTAATCACTGTGGTTACACTTTTCAGTACTTGATCCCATAGTTCTAGTTGTGTATTCTTTAATTTATGTTGTTGGTTTGTCTCCTCAGCTATGTATACCTAGTGTAACATATCCTTGTATTTATATGATTGAGAAAAACAAATTATCTAAATTACTGGTTGATAGGTGATCTGTCACTTTCAATGGCATGTGGCAAATAGAAAATATGTCTATCAGTTATAGAAGATCTTTCCCCAGGGCTATTCTATTAAAATAGATATGGGAGGATAGAAAGGGACATTCAAAAATCCAACTCCCGCAATCAGAATACTTTTTTATAGTTGTTTTACATACATCAAATGGATATTCAACCAAAGTAACCCATGACCCACAACCTATATATGACAATATGGTTTTCTTGAATCCGATAATAAACATTCAAAGGTATTTTCCATTTCATGTAAAACAATTTTCAGGCACAGATCCAGTATTTGATGTAAGGAGGAGCACTCTCTGAGAATTAGGAGTAAGAGGACCATATTTTGACAAAAATATTGGCTGTAATTTTACCATTAAATTACATTTTTTTTCAGTTTATGTGGGGTGCACAATGGGTGCTCCTTGTCTGAATCCGCATCTGATTTTGATTATCTTCAGTTTCTAAAAGCTCCTGACAATGCAGCTTTTCTAATGAATTCTTTGAGAATACATTCCTCCAGCTGACTAAATGCTTCAGTTTGTGTTACAGCAGTCATATGATTGAGTGCAAAGCGGAAACAAAAATCTTCCAATTCCTGAAAATACAAATATATATAAAATATATTTCAAAATAGTTTATTCATATGTGGTAAGGAAAAATTAAAAACACATTAACCTTTCACTTGTATACTGAACACAACAAAATAATTATATTCCTGCTCAATGACGTTAACTAACTTTTCAGTAAACAGGAAGTGGAACACAGAAGGAACAGAAAATGTGTCTCAAGGTATGGCATAACCAGATAAAGCTATATGCCATATTTTATACTTGTAGATGCTGTGAAGAATATGATATAAATGTTTTACAGATAGAGGAGCAGAGGTAATCAGGTATACCCCCTCCTTCAGGGCTTGGGTATTAAATCAAACATATCCTTTAAAAAATGTTTAAAAAAATTTCAAACCATATTATCCTTCAAAAGACTAGTAAAAAAATTCAAACAAGGTGATACTTTATAATGGATTTTGGTTACATAAAAAAATTCACACATTTTCAAATTCCGGATTTTAATGAATGTCCATTATAAGATTATTTGTTTCAACAAAAAAATATAGACCAAATTACATCTAATAAGAAAAAAAAAACAGAAATCATTTTTTTTTATTTTATACAGAGAAAAAAAATCTAATATGTCTTTTTTCTTGATAACATATTTTCATCTTTTTATGTCATGTTCAGATTAAATTTTTATTTATCGGTGACTTGAGAAATAAGAAAAAAGAAAAAATATAGTTCATACCTTAGCTTCAAATTTAATAGCAGCAGCATACAACATTGCGACATTGTCTGTTGTCATTCCTTTTTTGATGATCTGTTCACACATTTTCTTCAATATTGGTTCACAGTATGCATTGGCTAAATCCAACAAACCTAAAATTATAATATTCTCCTGAAACATCTATCATGTGCATAATTCTTTTATTGGCTTGTCACAAATATGGTATGGTATTAAAATCATATGATACTTTAGATTTCAAAAAAAAGTTGAAAATGTTTTATATTCTTGAATAGCTAAGTTTTGCTTTAAAACATGTGTATATCCTTTATCTTAGCAAAATCTCCAGAAATATACTTCTATTGAATTATTGTCTTCCTGTACTTGAAATTACTGATAGCTTTTCCGTATGCAGTCAACTAAACCACAAGACCTCTTGTTAGAACTTCGTCAACCACACAGCCGAAGTGCAAGAGGAAAACAGTTATGAAAGAAAAGGCAAATAAACGTGGAAGTTAGATAGTGATAATTGATTCTGAAAGAAAAAATTTAAAACATAAAATCATTTAACAACTGTTATGGCAAAGTTAAATCAAAAATAGAAATCCATGAAAAACATAAGAAACAAGTGAAACTGCAAGCTACTGCTCACTGATGATACCCCGCCACAAGTGGATAATTTTAATAGTGTAAAAATATGTAAGTGTTCGGTAAACAGGAAGTTGTTGACTGATGAATCCGAAAACGCATCACACGGTATAGCTGACTTAGATAAACGGATGGACGGACGGACGGACAGACAGAGGTAAAACAGTATACCCCCACTTTTTTAAAGCGGGGGTATAAAAAACATCACTATATGTCTGTCATCTCATTTATTTTTCACTTGCTCCATAGTTCTGTGTTGACTCACCTATTGCTTCCTCAGGTTTCAGATCTACTCTGTCTGTATACAGGTATCTAAGGAAAGCTTTGTATACTGTATAAGTGTACTGACTAATTTCTATAACTCTGTAAACAAAAATTGTAATATCATTTTTTACTGGTTTTCTATCAACAAACTTGTTTTTCTAGAATACTTACTGTTGATTCATTTTATTCTTCAAGGGGATCAATTTTCATGGATTGAGGAAAAACTCTATTGTCAAGGAATTGATTACATGGTTTTAACAAATTCTAAATACATGCTTGATATTGAAAATTATCGTCAGAAACTAAGGGTGCACATGATGTTGTCAATGTAAACATCAACAACATCATAGGCAAAATAGCAATAAACAGATTATCAATGGTCTTTCAAACTCGAGGATGTTTCTCAGCTACATCTCATCTCAGGGCTGTCCCCCTTCGATGAGATTGTAGCTGAGAAACACCCTCTCGTTTGAAAAACCATCAATCGTCTATATTTAACCAATAAATCAGTTGAAAGATTATCAATGTAACAGGTTAGTTAAAAATTCGTAAGGGTTCCGCGGAACCCAGTGTCTCGCCTACTTTTGCTGTTAATCGCAGGCTCAACAAAAATGAGGAAAAAAATTAATAAAAATATTCCTCTCTATACTATCTTTTGATTGTAAGTAGCTTCTGTCCAAGTTTGGTAAAAATCCAGGATAGTTTATGAATCTAATAAATGTTTTAAAAACTTAAACTGCAGACTGTATGTAATGTTAACTGGAAGAAAAACTAAGTCCATTTATAAGTAAAATATGGAAAAAATGGAACAAAATTTTAACAAAATTACCATGTAGATACTAGCTTTTAATCATAAACAAGCTTCTGTCCAAGTTTGGTACAAATCCAGGATAGTTTAAGAAAGTTGTTAAAATTTTAAAAACTTTAACCACAGAGTGAATGTAATGTTAACTGGCAGAAAAACTAAGTCCATTTATAAGTAAAATACGGAAAAAAAAGAATTTTTATTATACAAAATTTCCTTCTGGATACTATCTTATGGTCATAAACAAGCTTCTTTCCAAGTTTGGTAGAAATCCAGGATAGTTTAAGAAAGTTATTAAAATTTCAAAAACTTTAAACACAGAGTGAATGTAATGTTTCCTGGCAGAAAAACTAAGTCCATTTAAAGGTAAAATACGGAAAAAATGAAATTTTTTTTTTACAAAATTTACTTCTGGATACTATCTTATGATCATAAACCAGCTTCTTTCCAAGTTTGATAGAAATCCAGGATAGTTTAAGAAAGTTATTAAAATTTCAAAAACTTTAACCACAGAGTGAATGTAATGTTTCCTGGCAGAAAAACTAAGTCCATTTATAAGTAAAATACGGAAAAAATGGAATTTTTTTTTTACAAAATTTACTTTTGAATATTATCTTATGATCATAAACAAGCTTTTGTCCAAGTTTGGTAGAAATCCAGGATAGTTTAAGAAAGTTATTAAAATTTCAAAAACTTTAACCACAGAGTGAATATTTGTGGACGCCGCCGCCGACGACGACGCCGACGGAATGTAGGATCGCTATGTCTCGCTTTTTCGACAAAAGTCGAAGGCTCGACAAAAATGTAGAATATTTTAGATTGGATTGTTTTATATTTATAAGTGAAACTTGTGAATAATCAGTAGCAAAGTTCTTTGGATGAACTCTGTTTGTATAAAACACTTACTGTTTTTCATCTTCTTCCCAGCAAGATTGAAACATTGAACTGAAATGGTCACATCTGAAAAACACACACACATACAGGAATATAAATGTATATGTAATGCAGTTTTTATAAATTAAAGAAAAATTTTCAGCAATACTCAAATACAAAACATGATCGTTTCTGAAACTTTTTTTCTCAATTGGTTTACATGAAATCATATTTTTGGTTTGCTTACTCTCAAATAACATTCCACATTCATACTTCTAGACTGCTGAACAATGAAAACAACACTTAATAAATGTCATGCGTCCAGACAGCTTTTCTGGATTTGTCGTCATCAGGAACGCTCAAAGACTAATATTTGAAAGCCAAGTATATAAAAGAACCGAAACAGTTAAGCTAAGAACCGTGACAATTGAAGAGCTATATGACCAAAAAGGACCTAAAAATAATAGCCAAATCCATCTAAGGTTTACTTTTCTTGAGGGAGCTGAAACCCTTGTTCCTTTATAATTTCTATTTAGGAAGCAATGAAACAATGCGTTAAATGAGCCTCTTGTAACAGAAAAACATCTAAATTCTATTCTCCCTGAGGGTATCAACAACCCAGTAGTCAGCACTTCTGTGTTGACATGAATTACCATTGATATGGTCATAGTTCTAAATTAACTGTTTATAAAACTTTGAATTTTTTAAATACTAAGGCTTTTCTACCTCAGGAATAGATCACCTTAGCAGTATTTGACATAAAGTTTAGAAATTTGGGGTCCTCAATGCTCTTCAACTTCATACTTTATTTGGCCTTTTCAACTTTTTTTGATTTGAGCATCCCTGATGAGTCTTTTGTAAACGAAACGCGCGTCTGGCGTACAAAATTTCAATCCCGTTACCTATGATGAGTTAATTCTATATAAATAAAATTGAGCATGGAAATGGGGAATATGTCAAAGAGACAACAACCCGACCAAAGAGCAGACAACGGCCGATCTTTAATTATAATGGAAAATTATTTGACTGCAAATTATATATGATTTTGTCTGCATAAGAATTCATACTTATGGTCACAAAAGTAACTTGTAAAGTGTATACTTTAAATTTTTCATGACATTGGTCAATTAAATTCAAGCTTACATACAACATAGAAATTATTAAAATTTACCTTATTTTTAGGATGGACTTGTGGACATGAATTAATCTTCCTTCAACTGAAAACTTTAAATCACTAGTCACCTGTCATGATAAAAAAAGACTTAATGTTAACTTTCAAGAGTGTTTTTGCCTCTGGACATTTAGAAAATAAAATGCTTCGCTGGGGCGCAGCTTGATACGACCGCAGAGGTCGAACCCTGAACAGTTGGGGCAAGTATGGACACAAAATTCAAGCTTGATACAGCTATGACTTTGGATTGTCATTAAATATTTGACACAGCATAGGTTTCTGACACAGGATGAATGTGGTGTAAGAACTGGAAAAAATTTAATTTACCTATTATGGTGGAATATCCATAAACTAAATTGTTTGTTAATTTCAATATATCAAAGAATATGTAGAATTCAATGTTTGATGTAATGTAATAAAGTTGAAATTTGGACCGTTTTTGTTCAATGTGGACCAATTTGGTAACATGTATAAATAATCAAAAATCTAAATACATGGGAGCCCATTTAAATACATCATAAAGGTATTAAAATAGAAAGTGACATCATAGTCATGGCTAAAAATAAACAAAAATCCTTAATCAGCAACATTTAAAGTAATATCTAAAAATAAAATTCCTTTGTAACCATAAAAGCCCATTTAAATACATCATAAAGATATTAAAATAGAAAATGACATCATAGTCATGGCTAAACATAGCAAAAAACCCTTAATCAGCATCATTTAACAGTAATATCTAAAAATGGAAATTACATCATAAAGGTATTAAAATAGAAAATGACATCATAGTCATGGCTAAAAATAAACAAAATCCTTAATCAGCATCAGCAACATTTTATAGTAATATCTAAAAATAAAATTCCTTTGTAACCATAAAAGCCCATTTAAATACATCATAACAGATATTAAAATAGAAAATGACATCATAGTCATGGCTAAACATAGCAAAAACCTTAATCAGCATCATTTAACAGTAATATCTAAAAATAAAAATTTCTTTGCAACCATAAAAGTAAAATAGAAAATGACATCATAATCATAGCTAAAAATAAACAAAAATTTTTTTTATTGGCAAATTTTAAATGGAGTTTATTATACTAAAACAATAAATTTGCAACCATAAACATGATAAAACCCCATTTAAACACATCATAAAAGTATTAAATAATTCAACTACATCATAAGGCTATAAAAATAGAAAATGACTTCATAGTCAAGGCTAAAAGTAAACAAAAAACCTTCATCAGCAAAATTTTATATTGGCAAATTTCCAATGAAGTTTATTACACTAAAATTGTTGGCAAATTTCCAATGCATTTATTAACAATAAAGTTATTGGCAAATTTCCAATTTACATAATTTAAAAGCAGTGTAGATGAGATATTTAAATGAGTTTGAATTACCAACCTTACACTGCTTTTAAATAATGTTCTTTACTCAATTATTTGTCTATTAAAATGGAAACCCTTGTTTTTTAACATTTTTTCCCCTTATTCCTTAAACATTAGAGCCATAACCACCCCCCCCCCCCCCCCAAAGCCAATTATTACTTTCCAATGTAACCTAAATTTCCAATATACATAATTTTAAATTTCAATTCCTCATGATATATAACCGTATCATTATTATTTTCTTTCATATATAAATCTGAAACAACCATCTTTAAATGGAAAATTTTAAAGAAAAAAAAAGGAAAAAAAAAAATCCTACCTCCCACACATTTTTTCAACCCCCTTTTGATTCATCATCCCCCACCTCAATCACAACCTTCAATTTGTGGTATGGTACATTGCAATACAATTTCACAGAGATCCATACACTTGAACACAAGTTTTTGTTGCAAACTAAAAAAATCCTTATTTTTGACCAATATTTGGCCCCTTATTCATAAATGTTTGAGCAATTAACCCCAAAACTCAATTCCTACTTTCTCTTCGTGATAAAAAATAACTAACTTAAAATGTAAATTTTAAACAAAAAAAAAAGGAAAAAAAAAATTACCCCTATTTTGACCCCCCGCCCCCCTTATGATTCATCACCCCAACCCCCCTTTCCCCCCAAACCAAGCTCAATAACAGCCTTGCCTTTGTGGTATGGTACCTTGTAATACAATTTTAGAGAGATCCATACACTTGAACACAAGTTATTGTCTAGAAACTAAAAAATGCTTATTTTAAACCCCTTTTTAGGCCCCTTATTACTAAACGTTTTGGGCAATTACCACAACACTCAATTCCAGCTTTTCCTTTGTGAAATGGAACCTTGTAGTAAAATTTCAGAAAGATCCATACACTTACACACAAGTTATTGTCATGAAACTAGAAAAATGCTTGTTTTTTGCCCCCTTTTGGCCCCTTATTCCTAAAATTTTGAGGCAATTAACCCCAAAATCAATCCCAGCATTGACCCTTTGTGATATGGAATCTTGTGGTACAATGTCAAAGAGATCAATATGCTTACACACAAGTTATGTCTGGAAGTTACAAAAATGCTTATTTTTGGCCCCTTTTTGGCCCCTAATTCCTTAACTGTTGGTACCATAACCCCCAAAATCAATCCCCACCTTCCTATTGTGTTATTGAACCTTATGGTAAAATTTCATAGAGATCCATTCACTTAAACTAAAGTTAGAGTGCGAAAACCATTGTGTATTCGGACGACGACGCCGGACGACGACGACGACGACGACGCCAACGTCATACCAATATACGACCTCAAAATTTTTTTGCGGTCGTATAACAACAATCAATTAATCAATCAATCATGTTTTTTGGGTGAAATATTGACATTCAAAAGTCTAATATCTAAGAAATAAAGAGGAGATAATGTTTGGACAGGCATAATACTGATTTTTTTCTGTGTTTTAACCCATCTTTCAGCACTATGGTCTATTTTGTGGCAACCAATTTTTATTTGGGGAGGAAGCCGTATAACTCAAAAATTGTTTGAAGACTGAAAATCCTTTTACATGATAATTAAAGAATTAGTAATATTCTCAAAATGGAAAACATCCTGAGGCTTTGTTAGTTCTCTCAAAACTGAAATTCTAAGATGCACCTATAGTTGCTAACATCCTCATCATTTGGACCCAGGTCGATAGTTGTCTCATTGGCAATTATACCACATCTTCTTATTTTCATACTAATTAGTAAATTATAAACCAATCTTTAATGTATATATGAACTAGAGGCTCTCAAGAGCCTGTGTCGCTCATCTGTATTTACTGATGCTTTGGAAATCATATAAAGTAAGGTTAAAATCATAATTAAAAGTATTAGATATTAGATATTATAATGATATCTAAGATAATAACAAATAAAATGCTTCGCTGGGCGCAGCTTGATACGACCGCAGAGGTCGAACCCTGAACAGGTGGGGCAAGTATGGACACAACATTCAAGCTTGATACAGCTCTGAATTTGGATTGTGATTAAATATTTGACACAGCATAGGTTTCTGACACAGAGTGAATGTGGTCTAAGAACTTCAATTTTTAAATTTACCTATTATGGTCCAATGTCCAAAATCAAAATACATGGTTAGATTCAGCATATCAAAGAACCCCATATATTCATTTTTTGTTGAAATCAAACAAAGTTTAATTTTGGACCCCAACTTGGACAAACTTGAAAACTGGTCCCATAATCAAAAATCTAAACACATGTTTAGATTCAGCATATCAAAGTACCCCAAGAATTCAATTTTTGTTATAATCAAACTTAGTTTAATTTTAGACCCTTTGGACCTTAATGTAGACCAATTTAAAAATGGGACCCAAAATTAAAAATCTAAAAACACGGTTAGATTTGGAATATCAAAGAACCCCATATATTCAATTTTTGATGAAATCAAACAAAGTTTAATTTTGGACCCTTTTGACCTCAATATGAACCAATTTGATAGCGGGCCCACAAATAAAAAATCTAAATACATGGTAAGATTCAGCATATCAAAGAACCCCATATATTCAATTTTTGCTGAAATCAAACAAAGTTTAATTTTGGACCCAAATTTGGACCAACTTGAAAACTGGGCCAAAAATCTAAAATCTAAATACATGTTTAGATTCAGCATATCAAAGAACCCCATATATTCAATTTTTGTTGAAATCAAACAAAGTTTAATTTTGGACCCCAACTTGGACCAACTTGAAAACTGGGCCCATTATCAAAAATCTAAACACATGTTTAGATTCAGCATATCAAAGAACCCCAAGAATTCAATTTTTGTTAAAATCAAACTAAGTTTAATTTTGGACCCTTTTGACCTCAATGTGGACAAAGTTGATAACGGGGCCCAAAAATCAAAAATCTAAATACATGGTTAGATTCAGCATATCAAAGAACCCCATATATTCAATTTTTGTTGAAATCAAACAAAGTTTAATTTTGGACCCCAATTTCGACCAACTTGAAAACTGGGCCAAAAATCAAAAATCTAAATACATGTTTAGATTCAGCATATCAAAGAACCCCATATATTCAATTTTTGTTTAAATCAAACAAAGTTTAATTTTGGACCCTTTGGACCTTAATGTAGACCAATTTGAATACTGGACCCAAAATTAAAAATCTAAATACACAGTTAGATTCGGCATAACACATAAATAACTGTGGTCAAAGATTTTACAAATCTAATGCGCCATACTGTGCAATTAAAGATTACTTCTTGAAATTTTTCAATATTTGAAATTTGAAAAAAAAATAATATTTGAAGAATAATTCTTTTTAATTTCTGAAATCTGAAATGAGAAAAAATTGACCCCCACAATTTCTTTAAACCCCCCCCCCCCCCTTTTTTTCCCCCAAAAAATTCTTTCCCTCAAGATATGGTCATAATATCTGAATTCAAATTTCCAATGGAGTTTGCAACCATAATTACCCATATAAATTTACCATAGTGCTAACTTAATCTATTTTATAATAGAATTTAAAATATAGTGTCAAATCTTTCATATGGATTTTGTTGTAAAAAAAAAAAGATGCAACATTTGCAGATATTTTTACTGGTCTTCCTTTATAAATATGCATTTCTTTAAACATAATTTAAAAGCAGTGTAAGGGAAGTAACCAAAACGTTGTATTTGGATTACCTCCCTTACACTGTTTTAAATTATCTTAATTGTTCATTAACCATTACTTTATACATAATTTAAAAGCAGTGTAAGGGAGATAATTTCAATGATGTATTTGATTTATCTCCCTTACACTGCTTTAAATTATGTTTTGTACTAAAGTATTTGTCCATTAACCAGGACAACCTTGTTTTTCCCCCTTTTTTGCCCCTAATTCTTAAACGGTTTGAGCCATAACCCCCCAAAGCAAATCCTAACCATCCCTTTGTGGTATGGAAACTTGTAGTATAATTTCAGAGAGATCCATACACCGTTCCACAGTTATTGTCTGGAAACTAGAAAAGGCTTATTTTTGGCCCCTTTTTGGCCCCTAATTCCTTAACTGTTGGTACCATAACCCCCAAAATCAATCCCCACCTTCCTTTTGTGGTATTGAACCTTATGGTAAAATTTCATAGAGATCCATTCACTTAAACTAAAGTTAGAGTGCGAAAACTAATGCGTCTTCGGACGACGACGACGCCAACGTCATACCAATATACGACCATAAAATTTTTTTTGCGGTCGTATAAAAACTGCAAAATTTTTGTAAAATTACTAACTCAGGGGCAGCAAAATTTCAGGGCAGATAAATCTAAATCTGATGAACATTTTTGCCACCTGTCAGATTTGCTCTTAATGCTTTAGTTTCAGAGATATAAACCAAAAACCAAAAACTGCATTTTACCCCTATGTTCTATTTTTAACCAAGTCGGCCATGATGGTTGGAAGGCGGGGTCATCGGACACATTTTTTAAACTAGATACCCTTATAATGATTATGGCCAAGTATGGTTAAATTTGTCTCAGTAGTTTCTGAGAAGAAGATTTTTGTAAAAGATTACAAAAATTTACGAAAAATTGTTAAAAATTGACTATTAGGGGCAATAACTCCAAAAGGGGTCGACTGACAATTTTGGTCATGACAACTTATTTGTAGATCTTACTTTGCTGAACATTATGGCTGTTTACAGTTTATCTCTATCTATAATAATATTCAAGATAATAACCAAAAGCTGCAAAATTTCCTTAAAATTACCAATTCAGGGGCAGCAACCCAACAACAGGTTGTCAGATTTGTCTGAAAATTTCAGAGCAGATAGATCTTGACCTGATAATCAGTTTTACCATATGTCAAATTTGCTCTAAATGCTTTGGTTTCAGAGATATAAGCCAAAATCTACATTTTACCCCTATGTTCTATTTTTAGCTATGGTGGCCATCTTGGTTGGTTGGCGGGGTCATCGGACACATTTTTTAAACTAGATACCCTAATGATGATTGTGGCCAAGTTTGGTTAAATTTGGCCCAGTGGTTTCAGAGGAGAAGATTTTTTTAAAAAGCTAACGACGACGGACGACGACGACGCCAACGGACGACGGACGCCAAGTGATGAGAAAAGCTCACGAAGGGCCAGGTGAGCTAATAAAAGAGGATGCAAGTATATGACAATGAGGTGATAACTCAATGATTTAATGTAATTTGTTTACTTACTGGATCATCGAATGACCTAGTAATGTCATCTAATACACTAGCACCTTTCTGTCTATCTGAAATCAAAAGTTTGTTCTATTATCAAGTCTTCATTTCATTTAGAAATATAGATTTTTGTACTTGTCACATATACTATCATATTTTCTAATATTTAATAGATTGTATTAATAAAGGATAATTTTAGATAAAATATTAATATTATTGCAAAACATAATATAAAGAAAAATAATTGTTAATTAGTATAACAGAATGTAACAAATCGAATATAAAAGTATTATTTCAAATGATAAATCATGGCATTACTGTAAGAAAAATTCAGTCTGATTGAGAGAATTTGATTCTACACCAAGAAAAAATTAAATAAGTCATATCACTATAAATGTGAAGATTACAAGAAAATGAAATTAAAATGTCATTGTCAATTTTTTTTGTACCATCATCAGTTATCTTAAATATTCTCAATGTATGTCATGTATAAAAGTACATATCCAGAAAACAGATGAATACATGCCACTATTTTCAAAATTTAGAGCCAAGAAAGCTAGCATCTACTGTACATGTTTTGCCAGTAATGGATTGTGCATTTCTTAACATGAAGTAGTGTTTTAATCAAAAGACTTTTCCCACCACCAAAAGTTACACTGTATATCTGCCCAGATTTCTCTTGGATCAACCAATTTTTATATGATAATACTTTAGGCTATCAATTTTTTTCAGTTAACATTTTTTTAGAAAAACAACCCAAAACCCCTAAATGTGATATCAGTATCAATTGTTTAATATTTTATCACATTGTATTAGCTTTGAATTTTATCTATATGTATACAAGTGTGTTTTTTTTCCCATTTTAAACGTTAGTTTTAGGACAATGAACCTTTAGTCAAATTGTACATATATGGCTGCAATTTCGCCTTTTTATCTAAGGCAGCAAAAAAAATAAAATCAATCAATCAGTTCTGTTGCAGTGTTTTTTTTTTAACCTTTTTTAAGGTCAAACCATTATTAAACCGAAAGCCACAATTTCTATATTGGAACAAGTAATTTTCTTTCATTTATACATTTTTGGCTTTCAAATATTTGGCTTTCAGCGTTCCTGAAGAAGGTAAATCCAGAAAAGCACTTCAGATGCATGAAATTTATAACGTGATGTTTTCATTTTTTACAGCACTTGGTCGATACCTCTGCTTGTGGAGTATCAGTCCCTGAGGGTATCATCAGCTCAGTAGTCAGTACCTTGGTACTGACATGATTTATGACTAACCTTTCTAAAATTGTCCATTTACAAATCTTCAAATTATAAAGAAACTAAGGTTTCAACTCCCTCAGGCAAAGTTGACCTTAGATAGATTTGGCTATTTTTTTAGGTCCTTTTCGGTCATATAGCTTTCAACTGTTTCGGCTCTTATACAGTCTTGGGTTTCAGATATTGGGCTTTGAGCATTCTTAATGAAGGTAAATCCAGAAAAGTGCTTTGTGTGCATGAAACTTATTATGTGTTGTTTTCCTTTTTTAAATGTCATTCTTTTTTCTTTACAAAAATATAGTGAGACATCTTAATGCTATAAAATAATAATCAAATTTCAAAATGTGTACTTTCAAATGCTTTATGCTAAACTTTATTACTTTTTTTTAAACAATTTTCATCATTTCAAATCATTACAAATCAAATGAACCATAAATAGCATTTAGTAGTATTCTTTTAATGACTTGCAATTGCACATGGGAAAGAAAAGAATATCATTTCTGTTTACATAAAATGTTTTGAAATACAGAATTATTTACTTTATATGACTGATTGCTGGTTGCTTAACATCCAGTGGCAAATATTTCATGCATGTTCAGGACGATATTTACTTTATAAGATAGATAACTAACAGATAATAAATGATCCCTTTCAGGATATTTGGTAGAATATGCAATCATAATCATGGTAGTTGTGAATTTTTCTGCCTTTAACCCATTAGAATAACCTATAATCATCTTTCCTAGGAATCTTTCTTTCAAAGTTCATTTTCCTTATCTTTACAGAATCAGTAGCCTAATATCATATTTACTCAAAATTTATATGAAACTACAGTTACTTTCACTTCAAAATTTATGTTATCTGACAGAGTGATATATACTTTGAATAAATAAAAGAGGAAACAGTGAAGTATGTAGTAGATGAAAATTTTGTTTTAATTCTCATTAATGATGAGATTGTAACAGAAAAATGATCAGTTATATTTAAAATATCACCACCACCACATAACACAAAAGGACACACAAAAAAATGTTTCAGAAAGATTTTTCAAATATTTTGGCAAAACATTTAAAAAGTAGAAGTGCAATTAGCTTATGTGACACACTATAATGAGTTTATATACTTCCATCACTTATATGTGGCACGGTTTGCAAATACACTAATGAAAATTGACATTGACAGAAGAAACAATTTTTGTCCAAAATACATGTTTATATATTTAAACCATGTTTATTTCAACAAAATAATAATTATTAGGAATGCCTTTTAACAAATTTTAGGATTCCATTTTGGCAATTTTACAAAAGTTGTATCAAATTTTAAGAATAGAAAGTTCTAGCAAGTTCTGCAACCAAAAGCAGACAACAGCCAACACTGAAAAAATATTTCATTTAATGCTGATTGAATAAATGAATGGTTAGGAATGAGAAAGAAATAAATATATCTTAATTTAACAAAAACCAAACAAACTCAAAAGTTGTTAGTTACTTAACAATGTCAATTAATTTGATGCATATCCTACCACAGAGATCAGGGTTATCTGCAATCAAAGTTTAATTCACAATGCATCTTAGGTTAAAAATATAGTGTGATCTACAATAACAGGCTTTCTCTGTTCCTTGATCTGGAAGCAAAAATGCTGTTATACACAATTAAATAAACCTATAGCTAGATCTAATGTTAGATATGGTCAAGTTGACCTGCTTTTGATGAAAGTCATTGATTCACTAACTCATAATCCTGCAAAATTTTTACTGTGATAATGTTGTGAAATTCTATGAAAACGTATGCAATAAAATGCTCTGCTGGGTGCAGCTTGATACGACTGCAGAGGTCGAACCCTGAACAGTTGGGGCAAGTATGGACAAAACATTCAAGCTTGATACAGCTCTGAATTTGGATTGTGATTAAATATTTGACACAGCATCGGTTTCTAACACAGAATGAATGTGGTCTAAGAACTTAAAAAATTTTAATTTACCTATTATGGTCCAATATTCAAAAACTAAATACATACACGGTTAGATTCAGCATATCAAAGAACCCCAAAAATTCGATTTTTGTTAAAATCAAACTAAGTTTCATTTTGGACCATTTGGACCTTAATGTAGACCAATTTGCAAATGGGACCAAAAATTAAGAATCTAAATACATGGTTAAATTCAGCATATCAAAGAACCCCAATATTTCAATTTTTGATGAAATCAAACCATATCATTATTATTTGCTTTTATATATAAATCAAAAATAACCAACTTAAAATGGAAAATTTTAAAGAAAAAAAAAAATGAAAAAAAAATCCCCCCCCAAATTTTTTGAACCCCCTTATGATTCATCACCCCCAAACTCAATCCCAGCCTTCCCTTTGTGGTATGGTACTTTGCAGTACAATTTCAGAGAGATCCATACACTTGAACACAAGTTATTGTCTGGAAACTGTAAAAATGCTTGTTTTTTGGCCCCTTTTTGGCCCCAAATTCCTAAACATTTAGGGCAATTACCCCCAAACTCAAACCCAGCTTTCCCTTTGTGATATGGAACCTTGTAGTACAATTTCATAAAGATCCATACACTTACACACAAGTTATTGTCCTGAAACTAGAAAAATGCTTGTTTTTTTGCCCCTTTTAGGCCCCTAATTCCTAATATTTTAAGGCAATTACCCCCAAAATCAATCCCAGCTTTCCCTTTGTCGTATGGTACCTTGCAGTACAATTTCAGAGAGATCCATACACTTGAACACAAGTTATTTTCTGGAAACTAGAAAATGCTTATTTTTAGCCCCTTTTTGGCCCCTTATTCCTAATATTTTGAAGCAATTACCCCCAAACTCAATGCCAGCTTTCCCTTTATGATATGGAACCTTGTAGTACAATTTCAGAAAGATCCATACACTTACACACAAGTTATTTTCATGAAACTAGAAAAATGCTTGTTTTTTGCCCCTTTTTGGCCCCTAATTCCTAAAATTTTGATGCAATTACCCCCAAAATCAATCTCAGCATTCCCTTTGTGATATGGAACCTTGTAGTACAATGTCAGAGAGATCCATACACTAACACACAAGTAATTGTCTGGAAGTTACAAAATGCTTATTTTTGGCCCCTAATTACAAAATGCTTATTTTTGGCCCCTAATTCCTTAACTTTTGGTACCATAACCTCAAAAATCAATCCCAACCTTCTTTTTGTGGTATTGAACCTTATGGTAAAATTTCATAGAGATCCATTCACTTTAACTAAAGTTATTGTGCGAAAACCAATGTGTCTTAGGACGACGACGACGACGTCATACCAATATTTTTGCGGTCGTATAAAAATGTCCAATTGTTCAAATAACGAAGATTTTCACTAATTGCACCATTAGTGATGTATTTGTGACTTCATAAATGTAGGTGAATTTCTTTAAATCTGATTTTTTGCATAATTTGACAGTTTTCTGAAAAATTAACGCCCCACTATCGCCCAAAATACTTTTACTAAAATATTCTTTATAAACCCTATTCTTTATAAAACCTATTCTTTACCTTTCAACCAAAATTTTAAGGAGTGAGGGGTGGTGCCAGGAAATCATGAAAAAAATACGGCAAACATTGTCTTTGAACAACAACTTTAATACAAGTTAACAGGTTAATCAGTTGAGAGATTGTTTGAGTACCCATGCATTTAGGTCAAAATGTTTAATTTGACAACACTTTTATGAAGTTATAAAATTATCAGCATACATTTTTGCCTGTCAATTCTTACCAATGGAATAAGTTCTCCATGTAACAGGAGGAGAAGAGAAAAATGTATTTGCCTGTCAATTCTTACCAATGGAATAAGTTCTCCATGTAACAGGAGGAGAAGAGAAAGATGTATTTGCCTGTCAATTCTTACCAATGGAATAAGTTCTCCATGTAACAGGAGGAGAAGAGAAAGATGTATTTGCCTGTCAATTCTTACCAATGGAATAAGTTCTCCATGTAACAGGAGGAGATGAGAAAGATGTATTTGCCTGTCAATTCTTACCGATGGAATAAGTTCTCCATGTAACAGGAGGAGAAGAGAAAGATGCAAACACTTCATCTGTACTGGAGAATTTGGTTGGGTATAATGATGTTATTGACTGTCCTCTGCATTGCCCCCACATGTAAACTTGGCCTGTTTCTGTCATGGCTGCTGATATGTGGGCATAATGACTGGCAGCTATCTCCACTACCCTAAAAATAATTTTCATGTTAAATAGACAAGAACTTAGAACATGGCAGATTCAACAGGAGGAATAGAAGAAGAATCTAAGGAAAATTACATGAATTAATATTGTTTTGTCTCAGCAGTATTAATCTCAATACCAAACAATTTTCAAAAGCTTGTGATAATTTCAGATTGAACTGACCTATGCATGAACAAATGATTTCCTCAGAAACTATTACTCGTCACTTTTAATTTGGATTATTGACTATAGAGAGTGTTGTTAAACCTTTGTAGGCTGGGCTAATATTATTTAATGTATACCTCTCATTGGCCATAACTTTTATAGGTGAAACTTGATTAGCCTTGTTCCCTGTTCCCAACTGACCGTAAGAATTGGCTCCCCACGTGTATAATGTTCCTTCATCTGACAATGCAAGTGTATGAGCATAGCCACATACAAGCTGAAAATAAAAAATATGATTCAATGAATAAAATTTAAAAAAAAAACAAAAACAATATCTAGTCAAATCGCATCACATCAAATATCTCATTCAAAATTTTAACTTCAGTATTTAAAACATATTAGTAAAACAATTTCAATGAATTCTAAATTGAAGACTGAACTACTTTTACAGTGAACTTGCATCATTCAAAATTTACATAGTTAAGATAAATTATATGGAAATACAAATGTATAACATCTGTTTTCTAAAATCATGATGTTAAAGTCTGAAAGAAGTCTATGGTTATACCCGATTCATTAACAATGCGTCTTTATCTCAGTAAACAATCTCTTCCCAGCAGATCTGACACAGTCTTAGTATCACCTCATAACTATAACTTCTAAGTACAGAATTTGTCTTCGTGATTTTGAATACTATTTTCTAGTTTGGCTAAGAGTTTTTAATTGCCTCCTTTTTCACTTGTGTGGGGTTCAAGATGTAATATTATTTTGTGCTAACTTGATATTTTCAGATGTGCTATGTTTTGATATTTTTCAGAGGTTTAAAAAGAATATCATATAATGACAACATAAGTAAGAATTGTTGTGCAAATAAGAGTGTCTGAATCAGTAATAAGATGTTACATGTGTTTAGTTTGGTTGATATGATAAGACCTATGATATAATAAGTGTTTTCTTATTTTGCCACTAATTTTGAACACTTTGTTTTATATCAACAGAGTTTAGTATACTTTTTGGTTCCTCATATAGGAAGTAAGCATACTTTTGAACAATGGACCCAAAAGGCATAATCAAATACTTCTAGGTTATATCTGCAAAGTTTTACAGAATAAATCCATTTCAACTTAATCAATAAAGTCCCATAATAGAAACAAACCTGACTAATTATAATTCCTTGAAGCTGTTGTACTCTGCAAGGATTTGGTTGATTGACATTATTACCCAGTCCTAGTTGTCCATTCCCATTATAGCCCCAGCCATATACCTGCAATTAAAGATTAAACATAGAGTTGTTATATGTAATAAACAGCTAAAAGGATGCTTAAATTATATCTAAATGTAAAGTGCTTTGTCCAAAAGCTCTTTTTTGTGAAGTTTATTTTACTTTAATAGTAGTACATGTAATATATAGCAAATATTACAACGGGAGCTGGACAGCATATATAGTTTTAAAAATCAAGAAATGTATTGAAAATAATACCAAACTGTTGCCCTTTCATCATAAAATCAAACTGTATCCTTAAGGTTTTTTCTTTCTTTTTTTCATCTCGGCAGATGCTGAAAGGTCTTCAATGCATTATTTAAAGCTAAATGTTGTTTTTTGTTCACTGATGTGGGATGCGGGAAAAAAAATTTCTATTTCATATTTTACAGTTTGATTATAACTGTCTTGCAGGTTGCACTACATCTGAAATTTTTTTATTATTTATTCTTATCTTTAAGTGAAACTTCACTGACAGCATGAATAAACTGCTTCGCTGAGCGCAGCTGGATACGCCCGCAAAGGTCCAACCCTGAACAGTTGGGACAAAAATGGACACAATATTCAAGTTTGATACAGGTCTGAATTTGGATTGTATTAAATACTTAACATATTATAGGTTTCTGAATAAATGTAGTCAAAAAACTTTAAACTGGTTATATGAATTGAATTTATATTCAATTAAAGATTTCTTGCTGTTGTGCAATACACTGTGCTGTTGCGCAATACTTAGTAAATCTGTTGTCAGACTATAAACAATTAAAGTTCAATTTATTCTCAATGTCATATTAAAAATTTATGAAAATGTAAAAGGAGCTTACATCAATAGATATAAATAATTCAAATAGTTTCATGAGAATTTCTGACAGCATTTTTGAGTTATTGTCCAAAAACTGGAAAATCCCCCCTTTTTTAATGAATAAAACCCCATAACTCAGAAATGTAAAATGTAAAATTTATAAAATTCTAAACGAGCTTACATCAATAGATGTAAACAATTCACCAAAGTTTCATAAGAACTGCTGAAAGCATTGTTGATTTTTTGTCTGAAAACTGGAAAATCCCCCTTTTTTTTATGAATAAAACCCTGTAAATCGGAAATGTAAAATCTAAAATATATAAAAATCAAAAGGGAGCTCATGTCAATAGATATAAACAATTCACCACAATTTCTTGCAAGTTGGTGAAAGCATTCTCGAGTTATTGTCCGAAAACTGGAAAATCCCCCTTTTTTTAATGAATAAAACCCCATAACTCGGAAATGTAAAATCTAAAATTTATAAAAAATGAAAGGGAGCTCACGTCAATAGATATAAACAATTCACCAAAGTTTTATGCAAATTGGTTAAAGCGTTTTTGAGTTAATGTCCGACATGTTGACGACGGACGGACAGACGGACAGACGGACGGACGGACAGACGGACAGACGGACAACGGTATACCATAATACGTCCCGTAAACAGGCGTATAAAAAGTATTTATAAGTCAAGTGTTCATACCTCACCATTTTCCATTAAACACATTGATGAAGTCTGTCCGCAAGCTATAGATATGGCCATTTTAGAACCTATTAAAATACATTATTACTTTGAATGACTTGAATTAAAATATTGTGCACAAAAGAGAATTAATAAAACTTTCTCACTGAATATGTGTACACACTTTTATTTACAGATTTGGAAATCAACAAATGAGACAACTTTGGGTTGTTGAACTTGAAAATTCTACATGCTTTAACAGAAAGTCAAAATCTGAAGTATTTCTTTATCACTTTTTTCAATTTGACCAACTTTTCTTTTGTTGACAAATATAAACCAACCTATAAGAAAATTTCCCAGTATCACAATAACAATTAGTTTTTTTTCAGTTTAAATTATGAATTTAGTAACAGGTTCAAATTCAACAATATTGTTGATTTATGTCTTTCTTTGACTGTATGATATATCCCCAGTAAAATTTAATTATATTAAATCAAATAATACAACATTTGCATCAAAACATAAATAATGTAGTCTGCCTTTGTATCAGGGCTTCCAAAATTATTTTTAGCCAGCCGGACATTTTATATATTATCCCGATTTTAATCCCTTAAGACTAAATAAACAAAAGGCAATTATGGTATTCAGTTGCTGAGTTGGCCATCCCAATGATTGACATTAAAAAAAAAACAATATTAGACTTTCTTTGATTCAAATTCGAAGTTCTGACGTAAACTGTTAAATTGGCAGTGCATCATTCGAAGTGTGCAACATCAGCGTACTTATATCTGCCTTAGACTCTTTATTTGTGCAAAATAACGTTGTCAAAAACTTTACATTCGTTAAAATCTTATACCGGATGTTATCTTGACAATGGTAAAACATGGACCAGAGACGGATACGTAAATTCCGTGTACGTTTGCAAAGCATGAATGAGTGTACGTAGCTCTTTCTACGTTATTTCTTCAAGAAAATATTCGAAATAAACGATAAAGGTATCAATGACAATTTAAGCATTTTTTGAAGAAATTAGGATGCTTAATTAAATTTCACACCTGTGCACACGTGTACTAGTTCAAACAGAGACATGTCTCTGATTCAAACAACGTGGTTATGACGATTTTTCATTTTCACCTTTTTAATTTTTTCATCAAATCATATTTGTAAACGTATTTCTGATAATTTAAATCTTTTTGGCTAAATTAATTAGATGCAAACCGCTGAAATGTAAGGAAATAACTTTGAATAGACCGATCAATGTCCGGTTCAAAATAGTTTACCTGTCACCTGAACAGGTAAATTTCAGCTTTTCGACAACTAATTAGCCTTGATTAAAATGAGAAGGTATTAAAGTAGGGGTTGTTTTGATAGTACTTAATGATCATGTCACTTTTATGACCGGAAATGTGTGGCTGTTAAAGGCAAAGGGTTGGGTCAAAAAGATCGCGAATTATGTTAAAATGACCATCTCTTAAGAAAGCCTTGAAAACTAAAAAGTAGATGACCGTTTCATGCTTTGCCCAGCCAGACTTTTACCGGACATTATACAATTGTCCGGAATATATGACCGTTTTGGAAGCCTTGCTTTGTATGGAATGTTTAAATTGAGGTATACAAAATATTGTTGGCTAAAAATGTATTGGATTATGGTTCATAATGAATTTACCAGTAATGGTAATAATGGTAAAGAAGTGATGGGTGATAATAAATCAAGTTTTTTTCAATTAAAAAAGTATTTCAAACTGAAAACTCACTTGAAACTTAATACCAATTGCAAGTATCTAAGTTAAAGAAAGTTGGAACTGGTTTCAAAAGCAAGAAATTCATATTTATACAACAGGAGAACTTGACTGTGAAAAACAAACAATAAATTACTATACCTATAACGGCCATGACTTTTTTCGGTGTAGGTTGATTAGTTGTTGTTCCTGAACCAACCTGTCCACAATTATTCTGACCCCAAGCATATATCTGTAAGAAAAGGAATAATGGTATATAAGTCATATAAAGAAGAAACTAGTTGTGAAGATGCTTTATTAATATTTTCTTGACAGCAAATGTAAAATCACATTGAAATAATGATTTTTTTTTATCAAACATGTTAGTATAACAGGGTCATCGCATGAATATTGGTGAATATTGTGTCAAATAGATTGTTAAATTGATGACAAGTTAAAATATTCACTGAAGTACATGCAATCAAACCTTATGGTATAGCAAATGAAAAACTGCGAGACATATTTTTGTCACAGAAGATGTCACTACTTTGAAGCTTTATTTGCACTATTAATAGTACAATATGATATATTTATTGCATTTGGTTACGTTCTGTATAAAATGTGGAGTTGCTAATATGAGACATTATCATAGTTTGAATAAAAAGCCAAAATATATGACAAAATTCCTCATCCTTAGTGATATGTTTCAACCAAATAAATCCTCAATTTTTTGTTTCCCTCATAAATAAATATTCATCAATATTTCAAATTTCTCAGTAAATTATTCATATTATTATTATTGTACTTTGTCTAAATCTAATTGGATGTTCTTTTTTCATGTGTTGCTGGGTTGCTGGTCAGTAGACATTGTACTAACTCTAAGATTTACTCGAATGGCTCCATTGATATTGGTTGGCAGTGAATTTCCATCTGAGATAAGAACACATTCCCATTAGAAATAGTGAAGCAATTTATAATGTATCAAAAGCTGTATTACTTTTATTTCCATGAATAGGAAAATTTCAATATTCCATTTCTGGACTGTCTCCTACCTCACCATCCTGTGTTAAAGCCATAGAATGATGACTGCCACATGCCACCTTTGTCACTTTCTTCCCAAGGACATTAGTATTAATCAATGAAGGACTCAGTCCCTGTGTTGAACCTCCATTACCCAGCTGACAGTATCCATTGTGTCCCCAACTATATATCTCACCATCTGAAATTAGGGTAAAGAAGTGAATCAAGTCTGAAATAAAGTTTGTCCCAATATAAATGTTGACTAAAACAATACTTCATCAATCTCTTCAATAGGAAAATCATAATTTCTTTAAACTAATCAAACACACACACACACAAAAATCTCTGGTACACATATATACTGTTTCTAAAAATTGGACTTGATTATATTCAACAAAATATGTTAAAAATTCAGTGACATCCTAAAGATATTTTTTTAATTGCGACTTACCACTTGAAACTGCTAAAACGTGAGGCCCACTTCCAAAGGCAATGTCTATAATTTTCTTCTTACATAAAACCTCAATTTTTCTGGGTTCAAAACTACTGTGTGAATCTCCTGTAATAACATAAAATCATTACATTTAGTTACATCAGAAGTCCATTACTAGACGAAGTGTGCAAGCTGTACTATATAGTAAGGCAATCACGATGTCCCCATTATCAGTGGAAAGCCCCATAGGTGGTCTTCCCAAATCTCGTTTTATAACTATGGAATCATGGGTACAAATATTATCATCAAACAGATAGCTGTTAATTAGTTTCCTTGAGTGTTTCATTAATTATCAGTTTGTTGTAAATGAAGTGAGCCGATTTAGTGCAGTAGTTTCTTATTGCCAGTTATTTAACTTCATTTTAATTCAACATCAAGAAAATGATATAAAATTTTATAAACAAATACATTGGTACCATTTTTCATCGCGCAAAGGCAAATGAAAACTATAAAATCTGCCTAATGTCGGACTAAAAATGTATCGTCTATTTCAAAGATAATTATAGTTGTTTTTGTCAAAATATAGTCATAATTGCCTCTTTTTTTAAATAGAACGTTGTGTTGACGAATTGTGTCTTGGTTACTTACGGCATCAAGGAAGCTATATATATGGTAACGAACAAGCAAAAGACAGAGTTTTTTCTTCGCTTTTACCGAAATACATTTGTCAAAAATATCCGACCATTTGTTGCTTCAGATGACTTCGAAACAATTTCGAATTGCAAAAGTCTCTTGTTTTTTAGCTATTTTAAATTAAGAGACACTCTTCTCCTGTCTGTCCGTCATTACGTTCACCATCATAAGATGTATACGTGAGTCAGTGTTGCAACGTGTAATAGTCCTTTTTTTGTTTTATACTCACAAGACTGAAGACATCTGTAGATCATGAGGATTAAAGTTTTGATTTATTGTGTGTTGCTAGCTTTACGTTCAGTTGCAAATATGTCATGCATATCCCACCAAAGAGTTGTCGCAAGTGTTATATTTAACATCAGAGATCGTAACATTAAAACTGAATACTCGAGGTACTGGATTTAAAGTCCCTAATCCGACCTGATGCGGCTGCTATTAATATATACATCCCACACTTGTAAGAAAGAGTTCTACTGTTGGAACCGGACAATTCCAGGGATTACTTTATTTCTTTACGGTCGAACTTAACCCTTGAGATTGATTTAGTATTTAAACAATTTAAACAACAGCTATAGGTTTTTGAAGTAAGACTTCGTCATATTTCTGTATGAAGTATACTTACATAAAGAATATATATTTATTACTCATTTGTTTACAAAGATCGTGATCGCAACGTTAACTTGTCCTACAATTTTAAATAAAATTTATATGCCAAACGCACGTGTTGTGAACGGCATTTTTTACATGTATTTTAACGGATAATGTAATAATATCTGACTGAAATGATAACCTTTGTTCGTCCACACCGTCATCCGAGGTGGTATTACCGTCAAGATCTCAGTTACGCAGGATCAAAGATATTCCGGCGAAATTGAAGAAAGGATATACAATTAAATTTCCCCTCTTTTTTTCAAAATTGAGGGTACAATTTGTTAATTTTGCTAAAAATGGTTATATCTGCAGAATTCCCGTGTATCTTTTAAAAAAACTTATTTCTTGAAATTTGTAATTCGTAACATATATTCTTAAAATAAATATAATAGAATTTTTATTCCTATTAAACTCATTCCTAATCCAGTGTAACTTGTACTGTATATGGATACACAATTTCCGACCTAATTTTTCCTTGCCAACTTTTTAATGGCAATTTTTTCACAAATAACTCTAAAACCAAACGTTTATTGTATTTAGAAGTGAGCCTTTTTATTTCGTCTGACAATTTTTCTACGATTATAATTGTAGTTTTTAAATTGATAAATTATACAAACATATTTATCATTTAATATTAAAACCATCATAATGACTCATGACACTGATATAATATGCTAGGATCTGCTATTCATTAACACGTCGATGGTCAAACATTATTTTCAACAGTGTGCTTATTAAGTTATAGGGTGTTTTGCATAAATTATCTCTACCCAGAATGCATCGCAAAAAATTTGGCCATTGATTTTAGTTACTATTAATAGCAATCTCGCTCAAATCCCGTTTCAATCACAGTTGGAAGTACGGGGACAACGTGATCGCCTTACTATATAGCGGGTTGCACACTTCGTCTAGTAATGGACTTCTGGTTACATGTAGTGTCAAAAAACAGCATTTCAAGTGAAGACATTTCTATTAATACCAAAAGAAAATAAGATTTATTGTGTACATGGTGTAATAAATTTTAAAAGATAGATTTTATTTAATGAATGACTGTTATTTATTTTGAATTTATTGAACCATAAAATTAATTTTTGACTCTTCACATTGAATAATCCGCGAAGCGGACTATGTAAAATGTGAAGAGTCAAAAATTAATTTTATGGTCCAATAAATTCAAAATAAATTATTGTCATTCATTATAAATAAATTTCTATCAAAAAATAAGGCTCAAAGAGCTTTTTATATTATTTATATTAACAATAACAACGTACACATATGTTGGCGTATGAATACACAACGTCAGAGTGGGCGTGTCGCCATAAAAATTGACAACATTGAAAATAAAGGTAATACTTTTAACCAATCAGAACAGTAAATACACCAAATTTATTTATTAAAGAAAATAAAATATTTATTGGGAGTCTTGTATCAATAACATGGCTTTTATGTGTGTTTTGATTAACTAAGAACAAAACATTTTACAACATTAACCCTTAACATGAAATCAAATACAAACACTGTAAATAACTATCAGCTTAGAACAATTTTAACACTTGATTCTGACAGGCTTAAGATGATTGAAATATCACCACTATTGTTTATCCCTCTCTTAAACTAGTTTTGTAAATGCCTTTTTTGGTAAAAAAAATGACAGCAGCCATATAAGCTTCATATCTGTTTCAGTCAAGAGAACTAACCTAGACCAAGACAGCTACTACAGTTAGATCCAATAGCATACACATCATCATCTTCATTGATATAGACAGCTTCATTACCAGAACTACCAAATACACAGATTTTCTTTATAGCCTGAACTTCACTTTGATCTAGCACACTAAACATTGGCCATTTACTAACATCTAGCATGGTGAAGGAATTTGCTTGGTCTTAGCCTTAGGAAGTAGTGTGAATGAAATTTTCAGCCGTCTACATTTTGCATGTCATATTGAAGTCAACAACTGCACCTGAAATAATAATAGAAAATATAAATTAATGTACTTTACAAAATCAAAGTGATCAAAATCTCTGGAGGAACGATTGGAAGATTTGTATGTCTAATACAAATCATATTAAGGTATTACCAATTCTTGAATGAACTACTCTAAAGATATAGCCAAAATGTTCATAGTTCATCTGTGATAGTAAACACAGACATGAGAACATTGGGAACTTTATTTTAAGGTGTAAAGATTTAGTGGCAAACCTGGCTACATTCTGTTTGGTTAGGGTAGTGCCTTATGAAAACATTTTTTTAAATTGTTCCGATCTTTCCAAAAATGACTTAAAACAAGGCATAATGATGAGTGGGAAAAGCATTCTCAGTGTTCTTTTTATCTCTAAATTTGATGAAAATATTCTTATTTCATGTGGTTTGCTGATAAATATTCATATGACATATGCATGCATGAGATGATTAGTCATGTTCTTAAGCTTATTGTGAAGGAAATAAAATCTTTCCCCAGAAACAGTTTGTGTTAACCTGGATACTCATTTTTTGCAAAGGGAACTGTTCCATTGAATAAAAACAATAGCTATTGTTCTCTGTGGAGTTTATTCAGTGGGAACTTCAAATTTCTCATTGAAAAACCAATCCAAGTCAGGAGCCTGTACATGCTGTAATTCAGTTTTTGTTGTTGGTTCTTGTCTGTCATATGTGTTTTTCATCAATTGTGTTGTTATAAATTAGGCTGTTAGTTTTCTCAATTGAATTGTTACACATTTTTCATGTCAGGGCATTTTATGGCAGACTATACGGTAAGGGTTGTTCTCAATGTTGAAGGCCGTACAGTTGCCTATAACTGTTTGCATTTACTTCATTTGAACTCTGACGGATAGTTGTCTCATTGGCAATCTTACCACATCTCCTTATTTTTATATCAATTGATTAATTTGGCTGCACAAAAAAATAAACTCCTAGTAATGAAAAAAAACTTGTATCAAATACATATATAATAAGGACACACTGCATGGGATGTTGTATTTAATTAAATATCATGATCAACTAATTTATTTCTACTGTAAAAATAGTCTGCTTTTTAGTGTGTTACTAGATCTATTCAGTATTGTATTACTGAAATGTTGACTGCATTGCTATACAATCCTTAAGTTTTATCACTATAAAACAATAATAAACTGATATAATTTCTTTGCAATATGCACCATTCATGCCATTTAAAATAAAAGTTGTAATTCTTTACAAGCTTTATTTTTCTGTACTGACCAACGTTGACCAAATAAAATCAAAATTTGTCTATAATTGGCCTAAAGGGCATAGACCCAGTAAGCATGGTAAGACCCAATTTTGGCCCCAGAATAAAGCATTTTATAAATTTGTCAAAAATGTAAACTTTTGGCTATTTATCAGAAAGCAGATTACTTTTGTTACATAAATATGGACTGTTTTTGACAATACAATGCACATGCATCATTCATTCATGCAAAATTACTGAAATCTTCATAATTTTAACATTTGTGCTAATTTTTAGACAGTTTTGGCCTTAAAAGGAAGTGGCCACACTTGTGTTTAGTCTTAATATTTAAGTATATGTTGTATTTGATGATAATACATAACATATATAAAGGTTGAGACTGAACACAAATGCGGCCATTTACATTTTGACAAAAACCATCTGAAAGGTGATGTTTTATGGCATATTTGATAGATTTTTCACATGTAAACTTCAATTTGAGCATCTTTAATGACCAAAACAGTTCAAATCTTTCACACAACTTAATTGAATCAACTGAAGTAGACACTTAATTGTTTAAAAAATGTCAAAAATCTTTCATCAGATGTAATTCAAATTTTAGGCCATATAATATAATATACATGTAATATGTCACTATTAATTCTTTATCTACACTTATTAATTCTAAATAACATTTAACAAAATATATATAAATTGCATAAAATACATGTAAGTGGTATACATCAAATAGCTGTACTGAAGAATATTGATATTGTGTGAACATGTATATAAATTATAAAGATAGATCATTTGGTCACGAAAAGTCTGGTGACATCAGGAGAAATCACTCTGCATTTCTCTTAAGAGTGCTACAATGTACCTTTTATTTTTAGATAACATCATATAATGTATCTGAGATGATTCTATTCACTGACTAGTGACTGTGTTCTGGCTGAGGGTTCAATAAACTATAATTGTCTATGAAGTATGTATAAATTAATCAATTGAAAGACAAGGGAGGATTGATTCCCCTAAATTACTGGGAGACAAAATAATTTGAAAATTAGTGTTATATGTAGCAACCAATTATATTATTCCATCCATCTTTGGAAAGGATTCATAATAGGCTGAGAATTTATCAACAACAAAATTGAAATTGACATTCAACATGATGAATATTCTGGCAAATTGCACGATTAAATCTTTTTTTTTTGTTTGTTAAATTGATTACTTAGCGGCATAGGTCACATGAGACTTGAATTTCTCAAGGGACTCTGCTGATGCGATATGCAGAGGCAGTTTGTTCCAGTACTCAACAGTTTTTACACAGGAAAATTCCCTTTTAATCTTTCATTGCAGGCTGTAATAGGTATGTATGATGTCTTGATCCAGGGTTCTCACTAGGAATTTTTCATGGTGAGTCCTGGGACTTCATCACTTTTAGAAATGGTGAGTCCCAATAGATTTTGATGAGTCCAGGATGCGTGTAATTTTTTGTGTCTTATAATATGATGAAATAAAACTAAAACGATGCATGTTTGATCGGTAGTTTTTATTATATCACCAACATGTGATCACGAAATAGCACAACAGTACTGAAAGTGGTGTTAAATAAACGTCAATCAATCAATCAATCCAACTTTGGACACCAGAATAACAACTGAAAAATTAAATAACCCTATAATGGCATCCTACAACTATTCCTTTTCAAGTCATAATTTTTATCAATACATGTATCAAAATTAAAGGCAAACCTAAAAGGAGGTAGAAAGATAGTAGACCAATGTTTGAACATAGCCCCCAAAAACAGCCATTTACAGGTTAAATATATAATAGTTTTCAATACAGGGCAATAAATTAAATAAATATTCTTATTACAAATCCCTTGATACATCAGTATAATTTGTTTACACAATAAAAAGAGATGCATGCATTTCATGTACATAAAAACAAGCAAATCTAAAGTGAACACTGTTCAAAATATTGAGCTTGGCTAAATAGTAATTATTCTTTAATCATTTTTTAATCGTCATTCAAAACATTTTTCACCTTGTTTACGATCGCAATGTTCAACATGCACAATACGAGAAAAATGTTAAATCATTCGAAGACCAGTAGAATAATTCTTATCCGTAAAATTTCAAATCAACTTTGTTCCATGATCTATTTTATGCATAGTAGCAACAGTTATGAAATATTATATCATTTCATTTCAAGTTCTCAAAATTTTTTACTTTTTTTGGTTCAATTCATAAATACGGGATGTTCAACACGTGGAAATATTAAATCTTTTCAAATACTCGTAAATTTAAAAAAAATCGCTAACTATTTAATATTTATCATGTTTTTTAATCAGTTTGAACAGAATTATATACGTTTAATTTAAAAAAATAGTTATCAGTCAACAAAAATATTCATCTATGCATTACATAATTTTTCAACATCGACTTCCTGTATAGTTTCCTGTCAAAACAACGCGACGATCATGAATCTTCTTGGAAAAACGATGTGTTTGGGACAAAGGGGATACAACGAGGACTCACGGGTTTAAAAAATGACGCCTCCAGCTTGATTTTTTTGCGTATACGCGTCTTAACAAGAACCCTGTAGATCTAGTACTATTGGAGCTTCCTGTTGGTTTTTGTTGGCATAAATTTATATACAAGTATGATATTAGTATTTTGTAACATGTATGTTGTATTTCTATACTAGTTAAGTTATGATAAATTAAGTTGCTGATGCTTGTGCTTGATCTGTTTCTATTATAGACTGATTACCTATTGACTTAATTGTACAGCTTGTCTTTGTCCTCTTTAGATTTTTATGCCCCCACCGAAGGTGAAAGGGGGCATTAAGTGTTACCCTTGACCGTCCGTCATTCTGTCTTTCCTTCCTTTCAATTTTTGTTTAAAAAGCAAGCTTAAGGGGGGGGGGGGGGGGTGCATTCATGTCCTCATACACATTCTTCTTTTATTTATCTATGATTCAATGTGATTTTGCTAATACAGGTCCAAAATAAAAGACAAGTTTACATACATCCACATGCATTAGAAATTCTATCAATGTTAAATCATAGTTAATAAAAAAGAGGCAATGAGATGAAAATTGTCAATAACTGAAATTATATAAGACAAATTATATAGTTCTTCCCATTGGCAATGCCCCTATTTTTTAATATTGATAGAATGTCTAGTGCCTGGGTCATAAATTATAAGAACTCAAAAATATTCTGAGTTGGGGAGCACCTTTTATGTCACACATGTACCTACATTTATAAAGTTTTTACCAGACATGTATGAGTACGTCTAAATGTAAACAAGCTAAATTGAGATCAGACTGATACCCTTTTCTCTTTTCAACTGGGAACCAGATAAATGGCAGGTTTTTGTTAATTGAGTGTTGATTGGATGTTCCGAAAATAACATCGAATCAGAATTTCTGTATCATTGAAATGTTGGCAATTCTCACAACATGGCTACTGGTGGATTGAAAAGAATAAACGACTCTGACAATGACGTTAAAGCAAAGAAACCAAATAATTTTTGGCAAGGAGGGCTACTCACTTCCATGAATGACCCCGATCTTCAAGTATTTTCGGACGAACGAATAACTGTCATCAAAGATAAATATCCAAAAGTATTTTTTTTTTATTACAACCGTTCCTTAGGGCGAAGTTAGCACAGGCACTTGTTTCTATGCACGTTGATAGTGGGGCTTCCCATAGATAGAAACAAGTGCCTGTGGAAGTTAGGCTTAGCAGTTAGCTATTTATGTGATACTATAAGACAGGTGTTACTGTGAAAGAGGACGAAGTGTGTATAATTTATTAATTAAAAAGTGTTTTTTTGCAAAATTTAAATTACATTAAAATGTACTAAGGCCATCAATTAGCTTTGCAGTTGAAAAATGATGACATTAAAAATTGGCATGCCTTAAAAATTTCCCTAGTATCATCAGTCAAGGGTGTAACTTGAATAAGTTATTAGAGAAAAATAACATACATGTGTTATTACGGATACTTTCTCTTAATCTGTAGTAACATATGTTTGTTATCAGTTAAATGTACCATAATTTTTTTTATTTTCAGTGGGCACTTGGGAATTCTTGAAACTTGCACAGTACCTTAATACATAACCTTGAAAACTAATTTTCCAATTCAATTAATACATTTTTGATCAACCATGGTAAATCAATGAGACAAGGCTTTTAAGTGATAACTTAGCTGTAATAACAAGGCTTAGTTATTACAGGCATTTAACTTATTACATGAGACACTTGGGAATGACTAGGAAGCTTGCGCAGAACCTCATTACATGCTCTTATCATTATTTATTACAATAAATTAAAATACATTGTGATATATGTAGGAGAAAAGGCTTTGAAGAGATGTAGAGAAGCTGTAATAACACCCTTTAGTTATTACAGGCATATTTTTTCTGTGATAACATGGGTGTGTTATGCATGATTGGCAAACTATGGGCTGTTTTATCTTTCTTAAGTTTAATATACATAAAGACAATTATAATATCAATAGAACTAGTACACAATTTAACAAAATTAAGGATGTATAATGCCCCTTTGAAACATGTAACATACATATGTTATTACAGATTTTTGATTTTTTAGCCCTCAATAACAAATGTATGTTATTTTTCTCTAATAACTTATTTAAGTTAGACCCTTGACTGATCATTTAAAAACAATCGGTAAATTTTTTAAAATAATATTTCCAGTATCGTTTTGTCTCAGAAATTTGCGTAAAATATAAGGAAGGGGCATCACATGATTTCCCGCTAATAAAATTGAAATAAAGAGAAGGAAGATCTATTGGATTTATTAATAGATCCGTGTTTTATGCTTGGCATTTTAAGTTTTAATAATTGATAACTAATCCCAGTTTTGGCTACACATGCTGTTCTTTTCTATAAAGTCATGAATATTCAAAAGCTATGTAGGCGTGTAAAAATCATATACACGATAGTGACATATCCAACTATAGCAGTCATCACGTGACATTGGCGATGTCACACATCACCCGTATCATGCCCAAGTAAAATGTATAGAAATGCACAGGGGCTTTCAGGAATCGATAAAATAAATTACTACAAGTTCATGATAAAAAAAGTGTGGAAATATATAGTAATTCCTCATATATTTAGAAATATATTTATGCCTTTTGGAAAAGTTTAAATTTTGGTCTTCTCCCTTCCAAATGCTTTTGAAAATTTGTCTTCTTGCCTCGATAATTCACACTGTTAAATCATCCAACTCCGATAAATATTGGATTTTCTGTCGTGTTAAACCTAAAATTGCGATTTAAACAAAACAGGTGGAAAAATTGTGGAAATATGTGCTTATTACTATATTCATAAATATTTGAAATATCGTACATGCAATAGTTTAATTTTTTATTACGTCCCTTCCAAATTGATTTGAAAATTAGCTATTTTCAGAAAATCAGGTATTATTTTTCAAGATGGCGACCACATTGACAGCGTGGGCCGACTTGGTAATAATATATTTTGTAAGATTGTTACAATGAAAATCAAATAACTGTTGGATGCTCGCGTTTTCAGTCATTGTCTTACCTTAAAGCAGCATAGAATCAAACATTGGTTCCTTTTGATAAAGCTGATACATGCTGTTGTTTTTTTATAAAAATTTTAAAAAATGGTGACCAAATAATTTTCAAACGTAGACGATGTTCGACACTTATTTTGTCCATGCAAATAATTCAATTTAATTTCACTGTTTATATTGCAATTAAATATGACACGTTATTGTCACTATAATGATAGCCAAGGACATAGCTAGACTAAGGAGATATTAAGTCATAACATCAACGTAATGAAAGAAAACAAACATGGCACCTAATCACGATGTAAGTTTTGACAATACCTATGTTGATTAGTGTTGTCAGATTCTCAATGAAATTCATTACGATATTATTTTATATTTATAAAAGAAGACCTCGAATGGATATTAACCGAGGTGAAATAACTATATTTTTCAATTTTCTTTAAACCATTCATCGGGTAACTAGTAAATTTTACATAATCCTAATTAAACCAGTAACATGCAGAGTTATCGAACGTAATTATGACTGGAATAGTTGCATATGCCAGCCAGTACACACTGTTCTGATTTCATTAAAACTATAAGCAGTGTTCTAGCTAGGATTTAAGTACACAGGGCACAGTTTTAAGATGAAAGGTATTTAAGCACAGTGTCTTAAAAGGGACAACTTGAACATGTTCAAAGATAAAGAATTGAAATAATTGATGAAAAGTATTTAGATTTTCCTTCAGAAAACTAATATTATAGGGCAAGAATATTAGGGCAGAGGGGTGAACATAATGGGCAGAGGTAATTATAATAAGCTGTCATTTATCTGTTTTTGGGATAACGAGGACACTGATCAGCTATAAAAGGGGTGAATATAATGGGTAGAGGAAGGCTGTGTCATTCTATCATTTATCTGTTTTTGGGATAACTAAGACACTGATCAGCTATAAAAGGCCAAAGGATGACAAAATGTAAATCAATTCAAAAGAGAAAACAAACAACCTGAATTATACTACAACAATTAATGAAAAACAATTATGACAGTCAGCAATCAATGGCAACCACTGGATTTCAGACATGACAGAATAGAAAAACAAAGGATATGAGGTATCCATCCATTACACAAAATCAGTGCATGCACAGCAAAAAACACATCAAAAGCAAAGAAACAGCACTTTTATTGCTGTTCTTCGTCTCAAGTCACAGTGAGGCCTTCAACATGAAGCAACAAAAAAAAGCCTCTCACCTCACTGCAAGTTGAAGATGGCCAATGATGTCCCTAGCACGGGTTTGAGCGGAATTCTTTACAAAATGATTCGGATAGATTTGTTTGGTTACATGCACATAAAGAGTGAGGCTGAGTAAAAATAATATTTGTTTAATAAGGAGTTGTAGTATGATTTCTAGTGAGACAATTATCCACAATGTCAATTATTTAAGTCGTGAGTTTTAAGGGTGGATGATATGGTTGAAAATTTAAAATGCATTAGTAGTAATTATTATTTGAACTCAATTCTTTCGCAGGCAAAGTATCATTTCCTTATTATGCCAAAAAAGAACATTCCTAATTTAAAAAGTTTAAAGAAAGAAGATATTGATTTATTGAAATATATGGAAGAGAAAGGAAGAGAATTATCAAAAAGGTATTTGTTTGTTTTATGTTGTATACAATATCATGGTCTAAAAGCTGAATGGTATGACAGCATGGCTTGTTTGTTTATTTCTTAACTTAACCCATTTATATTTCAATCTTTGAAAAGGCTCTAGCTAATTAACATCAATTCCTCATATATTTTTTATCTGAATAGAACTTCATTTTCCAATTTTTCACTTTAAAAGTTTGTTGCAAATTATAGAAAAGGGAAAGAACTCTTGGATAAAGCAAACTCAGCAAAGTGTTTTCCTGTCTACTCAAAGCATGTAAAATGAGCATAGTAAATGGGAACAGACAATTATTATAACATTGTAGATAAATTACACATTTATGTAAAAATGAGACCACAAAATTGGTGGTTATGTCCATGCAAGTTCTAAAGTAATAGCTAAAGTAGACTAAAATTTGCTCTTTCTATTAGATTTGCATTGAAACTGACCTTAGTCTTCAGACCTAAGATTTTTTTCCCTCTGCAAAAATTCTAAAACTGGAAACAAAGACAGTCATGACAGTACTTGGGTAATTGGAAAATGGACTTTTTAATCTTAATTGTGTATGCATATGTATCATGTTTTTACAGGGGGCCTGGGTGGCCGAGTGGTCTAAGTAGTTACTACTGTAATCACTAGCCAGTCAACACTGAGGTTGTGAGTTCGAACACCGCTCGTGCGGGTGCACTCGACTCCAATCTTAATTGACTAGGATTGTCAGTTTTCTATCGAAGGTCATGGTTTTCTCCGGGCACTCCGGCTTCCTCCACCAATAAAAACTGGCCACCACGAAATAGCCTAAGAGTGGTGCTTAAAAGTGGCGTTAAAACACCAAAAATAAAATTAAATCATGTTTTTACATTGAGCTTTAAAATTGCAGTTCTGATGCAGAAAGACAGTTTAGATATGGATACCATAGTATACCTAGTATGAGGTATGCTTAAATATAATGCTGTTGATTTTAAAGGTACAGTTTAATTTAGAAATAACAATATTCATATACTAAATATACTAAAGAATAAATAAATCCAATGATGCACAAACAATCATAAAAAAAAGACTAATTGCCTAACTTCATTTTACATTTGTTGAATATAAATAGAGGCTCTCAAGAGCCTGTGTCGCTCATCAGGTTCTACTTTGGTTTTGTAAATCATGTAAAAATAGATTAAAATCATAACAGATACCCTAATAATGATTGAGGCCAAATTTGGTTTAATATTGGCCCCGTAATTTAATCAAAAGCAGGAGACTTCTTAAAAGTTTACAGAAATTACAGATAAATTCATTGAATTTGTAGAAAATTACTTTATAAGGACAATGACAAATCAGCTACAAAGTAACAACACTTGGTCAGGACCTCAAAAGAAACATTCATACCATGTTTGGTTTCAATCCATTAAGCAGTTTTCTAGAAGAAAAGATTTGTATGTATTTCCCATAAGGTCTGATGTTAAACTTAGTCCCCGCTGGCTGCAATCTTGGATGATTGATCGCCTACAAAGTTACAACAATTGGTCAGCACCTGATAAGGAACATTCATGCCATGTTTTATTTCATTCCATTCAGTGGTTCTCTAAAAGAAGACATTTGTATGTATGTATTTCCCATAAGGTCCTATGTTAAACTAAGTCCCTCTCTGGCAGCCATCTTGGATGATGGATTGGCTTCAAAGTAACAACACTTGGTCAGCACCTCATAAGGAATATTCATGCCATGTTTGGTTTCATTCCTTTCAGTGGTTCTCTAGAAGAAGTTCAAAATGTAAAAAGTTAATGACGACGGACGCCAAGTGATGAGAAAAGCTCACTTGGCCCTTTGGGCTAGGTGAGCTAAAAAAAGGAAGTGTCTGGGATAAAACTACCCCTTTTTAAAGGCAAACTTTCATTTGCACCTGTAATAATGCCCCCTTTATCATCATAAGAATCAATACCTGTACAGGTAGTTTTTGAATAAGGGGACGACCATTTGATATTCTGGGGGGGGCCAGGAGGATTTGTTTTGGATCGGTTATTTATTTTTGTAAACTAAGAGGACAGATTATCTATTTTCTGCACTATTGAAGCAAGACTTTTCATTTTCATTAAAGCAAGGGACTGATTATTTATTTTCACAACTATATTTATAATATTCGAAAACATACAATTTTTAAATTATTTGTTTATTATAAATAATACATGTATTGTCAAGTCATTATGTACCATTTAATCAGAATTAATTATTATCCTCTGCAGAAATGAATCTTCTATATTCCCCAATGCATATACATGTATTGCAAACATACACAGTATTAAAGTTTGGTTGTAACTAAGGCTCTTTTAAAAGTATTGGCAAACATGTTTTGCCGAGCGGAGCGAGGCAAAATTTTTTTGGAAGGGTTTTTGAACCGCTGAAGGCCCAAGAAGCTATAGAACAAATGATGCAAAATCATGCTTTCTGGGTGTTCCCCAGACCCTTTCTTAAACTGAAAATGCAAGTTCTGTTTTAATAATTTTTTGACAATATTTTGGTCTCAAAGGAAAATCACGTTATAGATTCAGTGTAAGACTTAAGTTTCTAGGGACAACATCAAAAGACAAATATGTATGATAAAGCAATAATGTAATTCACATAGTTAAGTCTGTGGCTGCTGTGTTTTTTTAAACTCATGATCAAGTTAATAATAAAATTACTAAATTACAAAATGAATGCAACACTAACAGAATACAGAAGGGCAATCAATGAACAAAAGACAAATAAATAAGAAACATTGATCCCGAAAAATCAGGGGCTACATCTGAGGGAGAACAGAACTTGCTTCTTGCAAGGCACTCACAGTGAACACAATTTGATATGGAGACAAGCGTTTGGTTTTGAAATTTCCTACATGAGGCATTTGTCTCAATGTAGTTACGGCCCTGATTTAATAAAAGTGAGGTAAGTGTTCCTGAGACAATTAACCTCAAGTTAAATGAAACCAATTTTCTGACATTTCAAGTATATTTAAATAATATTTATACTTTTATTATTAAAAGATGTGGGAAGTGTTTCCCGATTTTTTTTTTTGGAAAAAGATGAATTTATGAAGAATCTGGTGCCATCTCATACTTTCGATTAGACCTGCTGAGTTATTTATTTTCAATACATTGCAAGTCAGGTAATTTATTTTCAAACTACCACAGAACAAACCATTTATTTTTGTGATTATCAAGGCTGAGTTATTTATTTTCAAAATCCTCCTGGCCCCCCCCAGAATATCAAATGGTCGTCCCCTAACTACCCTGCAAATTGTTTCATTACAGTACCTTATATCTTATACATTAACATGGTTAATAAAACCTTCAAAACTATCTACACAATCAAAATAAAGGATACCACAGATACAGTTAAGTCTGCCTCATATCTTGACTTACATCTAGTAGTTGACAATGTTTGTCAGTTGAGAACAAACCTATACAAAGCCTGTTGTTCAGTGGTTGTCGTTTGTTGATGTGGTTCATAGATGTTTCTCGTTTCTCATTTTTTATTTAGATTAGACCGTTGGTTTTCCTGTTTGAATTGTTTTACACTAGTCATTTTGGGGCCCTCTATAGCTTGCTGTTCGGTGTAAGCCAAGGCTCTGTGTTGAAGGCCGTACTTTGACCTATAATTGTTAACTTTTTGTTCACTGTGACTTGGATGGAGACTATTGTTTGTCTTTGCATGTTTTTTGGGTTTTTTTTGTCATGTTTTTAGCTCACCTGACCCAATGGGCCAAGTGAGCTTTTCTCATCACTTGGCGTCCGTCGTCCGTTAACTTTTACAAAAATCTTCTCCTCTGAAACTACTGGGCCAAATTTAACCAATCTTTGCCACAATCATCATTGGGGTATCTTGTTTAAAAAATGTGTCCGACGACCCCGCCTGCCAACCATCATGGCCGCCATGGCTAAAAATAGAACATAGGGGTAAAATACAGTTTTTGGCTAATATCTCTGAAATTAAAGCATTAAGAGCAAATCTGACATGGGGGTAAAAATGTTTATCAGGTTTAGATCTATCTGCCCTGAAATTTTCAGATAAATCAGACAACCCTTTGTTGGGTTGCTGCGGCATGCCCCTGAATTGGTAATTTGAAGGAAATTTTGCAGTTTTTATACGACCGCAAAAATTTTTGCAGTCGTATATTGGTATGACGTTGGCGTCGTCATCGTCGTCGTATGGTACCAACAGTTAAGGAATTAGGGGCCAAATATAAGCATTTTCTAGTTTCCAGACAATAACTTGTGGAACGGTGTATGGATCTCTCTGAAATTAGACCACAAGTTTCCATACCACAAAGGGATGGTTAGGATTTGCTTTGTGGGGTTATGGCTCAAACCATTTAGGAATTAGGGGCAAAAAAGGGGGGAAAAACAAGGTTGTCCTGGTTAATGGACAAATACTTTAGTACAAAACATAATTTAAAGCAGTGTAAGGGAGATAAATCAAATACATCATTTGAATTACCTCCCTTACACTGCTTTAAAATTATATATAAAGTAATGGTTAATATACAATTAAGACAATTTAAAAAAAAAGATTACTGACAAAAAAATAGTTATCATTTAGTTCTTGTAATTTTATTGTCAAATACATAACCCTTTAAAGATTTAAATACCGGTAATTTCTTTTCTTTAAAGTACATGTATTTACATTTTTTGCAGCCATTTACACCTTCATGTGATAAGTCAAGATTTTGACAGCACTTGTCTGAAGAATAAGAAACATTGGAACTCTTTTACTACAGAATATTTTGTAGATTCAAAAGGTAATTTTTTTCTATTTAGAAAAAGGTGAACTGTTGCAAATCACAATGTTTGTATTATTCTGGTAAATATTTCCATAATTTTGGCGTATATGAAGTATAAGCTTTTAAAAAGCTAATGGACTTTTAATCGAATATCAACAGCAACTGTCAGGTGAATGCTAGGCAGGCAGATGGTGTAAAGATGGAATATCTGTTTTGTGTAAAACTCCAGTAGTTTTCAATCTTTCTAGAATTATTGTATATTCATGGAAAATGAATACCCATTTTTGTGTACCTCAACTGGATAATTTTCCTATTTTCAGATGGTAAAACGTTTGTCAATCTTTAACAGCATTCTTGATGGATGCTTCCCAATTTTTTTTTTCAACAGTTTCCAACCCAGAGTCTGAAAAGTTTCTGTAATGTTTTATTGATGACTTTCACCTCACTTTGTTTTAACATTTGAACCAATATTTGCTGATTTTTTTAAGGTGATGAAACTGTGTCAGATTTAAACAGCCATTCTCCATCGAGTTTACTCATTTTGTAGTTTAATTCTTCCTACATATTTTATTCAAGAGCCTTAAACCTTCTAAATATTTTTATGCACAGGGGCATTGTGGAATTTTTTTTTTGTTTTTGAAAACTAAATTAAGAGGTAACATATTTTTTTAGCTTGAGTTTGATGCTAGTTGTAAATACAGACATTTTCAGGAAAATATCTTTTTAGAGGAGTTTAGAAATGTAGTACTGGGTATTCATTTATGGTATAAAAATTAGGAGATGTGGTATGATTGCCAATGAGACAACTATCCACCAAAGTTCAAATGATGTGGATGAAAACAATTATAAGCAATCGTACGGCCTTCAACAATGAGAAAAACCTTACCATATAGTTGCATATAAAAGGCCCTGACATGAAAAATGTGAAACAATTCAATTGAGAAAACTAACAGCCTAATTTATAATAAAACAATTTACAAAAAACAATATGACAGACATGAACAAACGACAACCACTGAACTACAGGTTCCTGACTTGGGACAGGAACATAAAGAATGTGGCGGGGTTAAACATGTTTGTGAATGCTCTACAATCCCCTAACATGGGACAGTGGTGTTACAGCACAACATAAGAACAAACTGTTAAAATCAGTTGAAAAAGGCTTAACTCATCAGATGGATCCAAATAGAAATATATCTAACAAAACAGTCTGAACTCAAAAAATCGGTACGAGGCACAAAAATTACTAACATTAAAACTATCTAGTTCTCTTTGTAGATATAATAAAAACTCTAGAGAAGACTGGAAAGGTAGAACATGAATCCTCCCATTTTACATCCCTGTTGAAATCTGATCTCAGGTAAGATGTATAGTAAGATGTGCATAACAGTATCAACCATTTTATAAAGGTTAAGTATTAAATGAGATATATTTTATAGTGCAGTTTAGAATTATGATCATGGGTTCAATTATGAAATAAGACATGAATATAATCTAAATATTCATTTTTCCTGTGAATATTAAAAGCTTTTATTAGAGAAATTATACTGAATTTCAACATATCATTGATATTTTTTTTTATTCTATTTAAAAATCCACCAAACATGATTTATGTTTTAGCAACTTGTACTCACTGTGAGATTAAACAAGTTCCTAATGTCTGACATTTATTGACAGATAATCTGTTGAACCTTGGGAAAATCAAGCATAAAATAACATCTATAGTGAAAATTTCTGACATTATTATTTAGCAGTAACAAAACCATCTTTTTTTAATTTGCACATGATATGTATACTTAAGAATGTGTTCTTTTTATTTTAGATGTCATGTTTGCAAGAAAGAGATAAAGACAATACCTGCACTAAAAACTCATATTCAGCAGCATAGCTACCAAGTGAAAATAACAGATACATAACCTTATTTTTTTGTGTAAACATAATGAATGAGGAAATTTGATGTACATTGAAATACAGTATCTCCAAAAATGGGAATTGTTTAAAATAGTATTACTTTCTTTAGTTTACAAATGTGCTGATCCTAGGTGTGACTGTATCAAACTTGTTAATCAGAAATGAAGACATTATTTAACAACAGGACTGTCAGTCAAGCTTGCATTTGAATGTACTTAAAGAAAGAAAACAATTTTGCTGTGATATCATTTTCTTTGTCTTTTAGAATTTACTCAGAAATGTGAAATAAGTTCAGGACAATGTTTTATAAGAAATCCTTTTATTCTACATCAATGAAGGAATAATACCTAAAAAATGTATATAGCATATGTTTGATTTTTGTTTTAGTAAATATAGAAAATAAAAAAAAAATGTAACTTGATTATTATTCTCTTTAGTATTTTTGTTTCCACAATTAAGCAAGCGGATTAATAGGAAACCATAAAACTTTTCAAGTCAACACTATATACCAATTCCTGCTATGATACATTCCCTCTCTTCAGTCACACTATAACACTGTAACAATTTGTTGAAATTGCTAATTATTATGATACAGTTGGAGAGAACTTTTTAACTATGTTAATTTGTTAACTTTGACAGAATGGCAACTATATTTAATTTCTTCATTAAGATGTTACAAAAGTCTTGTGTCAGTCTTATTCATGGGCATTCATACTTAACGATGATTTTCCCTTTCACTACCGGTAGTAAAATAAATGACTATTGCAAAATCTACATTAGTTTCTTTGTTCATGTTCCGCTGCATTTTGAACCTTTACCCGACCTGTAGGGTGATGAAAAATCCATAATCATTTGGTATGTTTGGGAGTTTGGGATGTAAAGACAGAATGCATTGTTTGTTGTATTTTGCTGGGAATTGATTTAAATAAGCCAATTTGCAATTTGAAACACAAGTAAAGTGTTTCATATTTTTCAATGTATTGGAAGTCTTCACTCAAATTTATGCATTTTACACCAGTTCATGTTATCTGCACTGTACATAGCCCATAGGCCTGCCTTGCTGTTTGAAATCTACTCAGAAGTGTAATAACAGATATATCAGTGTCAGGAGTCATGACTTTAATACCAACAGACTTAGTTCTTTGGGATTGTTGTGCTGTTTATTTGTGTGTCTATCTTCTGTAATACTGATATAATAAAGTTAACTGTATTATTTCTGACCTGATGTTTAGTGTGTGTTATTCTATGTACATTTGTTATTTAAGAGATGGATCTACAAAATAGTTTAACCTGCCACATGTAAATATATCTGTCCCAAATCTGAAATCTTACTAGTGGTTGTTCTCTGTTACATTTTGCTGTGTAAATACATTTTGTGTTGATGACAGTTCATTGGTGTCCCCTGTAAATTGTATTCAAAACTGTTCTCAAGCTCTTGGCCATTAAGAGCCTCATGTATGGTATATACACTTGTCTACTGTATATGACTTTTATGTTATTACCTAGATCTATTTTCTGTTTTCTCATGTTGCTCTCTTATTTACCTTAATTTGTCATATATTTATTGATAAAACTGGTTTTTATGTCCCACTATTATGTACAAGTCTCAGAAGCCTGCACACAAAGATATTTATTAGTCTGTTGACCCTTCAACAATATATCATTTCTTGGCTATATTTTTTTAAGTTTTTTTTTTATTGATTGCTGTTTTTTGTTTTCATCTTGCCTGAAATGTTAGTAGCAGAATTTGAGAGAAAGGGATTACAATTAGGCTGCAGTTGTATACTTTTTGTATTAAGCTTTATATTTCAGAGGGTAGAAGACCTTGAGGCTTCATACCTTGTATACAGATCCCTATATTATGAAGTTCCCGTCTGGCATTTGTACAGTGTTATTGACCTCATTTCATGGTTCAGCAATTGCTAGAAAAAAAAGTTTTTTTTGTCATGTGAATATCTCACTTAGGATAACTAGGATTGGTAAATGGGTTCCTTGCAAGGTCCACATGTCCGTCAGACAGGGTTCACCTGACCTTGACCTTATTAATGGATTAGTAATCAAGATTTAAGTTGCATAAAGGTCTGTTTCTCAGATTCTGTAAGATATAGGTCAACTATATGGTGTATGGAATGATTGTAAGGTGTACATGTTAGTCTGGCAGGTTTGATCTGACCTCATTTTCATGGTTCATTGGTCAATGTTAAGTTTTTGTGCTTTGGTTTTTTTTTATACTAAATGCAATTATAGGTCAACTATATTTGGTGTGTGGAATGATTGTAAAGTGTACATGTCTATCTGTTGTGTATCATTTGTCCTTGACCTTATTTTCATGGTTCATTGGTCAATGTTGAGTTTCAGTAGTTAGTCCTCTTCCAAGATACTAAAATCAATAGGTCCACTTTATTTGGTGTATTGAATGATTGCAAGGTGTACATACCTGTCTGGCAGGGTTCATCTGACCTTAACCTCATTTGCATGGTTCATTTGTCAATGTTAAGTTTTCCTGGTTAAATCTGTTTCTTATATACTATAAGCAAAAAAGTCAACTATATTTGATGCATGGAATTAATGTAAGGTATACATGTCTGTCTGGCAGGGTTCATCAGACCTGGGCCTCATTCCATGGTTCATTGGTTAATATTAAGTTTTTGTGGTTTGTTTTGTTTCTTGTATACTATAAGCAAAAGATTAAGTATATTTGGTGTATGGATTGATTGTAAAGAGTACATGTCTATCTGCCATGTATCATTTGTCCTTGACCTTATTTTTGTGGTTCATTGGTCAATTTTAAGTTTCATAGTTAGGTCCTCTTCTAAGATACTAGAATCAGAAGGTTCACTGTATTTCATGCATGGAATTAATGTAAGGTATACATTTCTGTCTGGCAGGGTTCATCAGACTTAGACCTCATTTTCATGGTTCATTGGTCAATATTAAGTTTTCATGGTTTGATCTGTATTGTATACTGTAAGCAAAATATTAAGTATATTTGTTGTATGGAATGATTGTAAAGAGTACATGTCTATCTGTCATGCATCATTTGTCCTTGACCTTATTTTCATGGTTCATTGGCCAATGTTAAGTTTCATAATTAGGTTCACTGTATTTGTTGTATTGAATGATTGCAAGGTGTACATTTCTGTTTGGCATGGTTAATCAGACTTTGACCTCATTTTCATGGTTCATTAGTCAATGTTAAGTTTTCATGGTTTGGTCTGTTTCTTGTATACTATTTGCAATAGCTCAACTATATTTTGTATATGGAATGATTGTAAGGTGTACATGTCTGTCTGTCTTGGCTTATCTGATCTTGAATTTATTTTCATAGATCATTAATAATGTCAAGATTATGTGATAGTTGTAATAAAATCTTAAGAACTATCAACATAAAATCAATCATGGTTAGTAAAGCTAGCGAGACATTTCAGCGTGTGTAATCTTGCTTTTAAAAATCAAGCTAGGTCGTCAATAAGTATATTTGTTTATCTTTCTACCATTTTTCAAGAAATCCCAATTTCCCAGATCCTATCATTAGCTCAGTAATCAGTGCTTTGACACGGACATGCTTTATAGCATACCTTTCTTATTTCACTATTGATAAATTTAGAAATTAAAGAGAATTTTTTTGTGTTTTAGCCATTACTGATGAAAGTAAATCCAGAAGACGCCTCAAACGAACCAAATTTTATAAAGTGTCATTTTCGTTGTCACTGTGATTTGTAAGAGACATACTTATTAATATTAGGAAGCATTCATCCTAACTTTCTTCTTCCTATAGACCAATGTTGAGTTCCTTTTTATGAATGAGATACGCCGGTTGACCCGAGGTCAGTCTGCTAAAATGATGTCATTTAACAATCGGCTCTTACTGTGTCATAATAACATAAGTATTGTTAAAAAGGATATGTACGAGAAAATGCAGGAATGTGAAAATCGTGTATAGCTTTAGTTTTGTGGAAGAACTCAAAGACAATACGCCATAATACATTAAAATAGAAGGCCTAAGTAGCCATCTGGTTGATTGGGACACTATTAAAAAACAAAACGTCTAAAAGCTTTATATAAATAATTACTTATATTCCATTTACAAATAAAAGAGGTGGAAGATACCAAGGGGACATTAAAAACTCAAGTCGACAGAAACTGACAACGCGATTGGTAAGAATGAAAGACAACGAAAAGACAAACAAGTTCACAAAACATGCATAGAAAACTAAAGGCTGAGCAAAACATACCACACCTTGGATCGAAATCATCCTGGAATTACCTATTGGTAACACTAAGTTGAAACGAAAGCAAATAAGTTATTTTTTAAGCAATTCAATTTTGGAATAAAACATATTTAAGGAAGAGAGTCTTCTCTGAACAACACGTGCCTATAGTTTTTATATGTGTAAAAAGCATAACAAAAACTTTAAATAACATCACTTTAATTTGTTGTATCTGTCTATCCATCTGTTTTCTGCAGGTTTGTGAGTAGATCTGCAATGGATATAATCATGTTAAGAAATATATAAGTAGTCTTGTAAATACGATCACTGTACAAAATATGTAAAATATAATTGACTTTAACCATCTGTTTCTCTTTATTAGTTCTTCTGTCGCCATCCCGAATTGGCTGAGAGAGATAGGTTCTCAGTTTTTGAACTCAATATGTACTCTTTCATAGATCAAATATGCTCACTAATTCCAGTCTGACATTAATATCAGTTATTTCATTTTCCTGCTTTGATACTGCCGGAGGTGACCTTGGCATCGTAATGAGTGATGCATGTTGATGTCATTTTGGAGAAGGGACATTTTGGGGCTGTAAATTCATAGAAAAAAATAGTTAAACACCATGACCACTCTCATTTTTCAAGGTTTAGAAGGAAACCTTTTAGAACATGTGAATATTAGGCAAGACTTGTTGACACAATTTACTTTGACTGCATAATTTAAAATTTGTAGAAAATAGGCTAATTTTAAATTGGAACATTTTAGCTTATTGATATAGAGCACCACTCAAAGTAATGTATTGAAAAAGATAAAGCCAAAATACAATAATGATTTAGAAGTGTTAACATCTTTTGGGTCAATTGTTGTGCTCTGTATTCTTTATTTGCATGTGAAAAGGTCAAGATTTGAGTAATTTTGTAAGTTTTCTGTAGAATCCGTGAAAAAGGTACACTGTTAACCAAAACTGCAAACTTGAAGAAATATTAGATTTTCGTCGAACAAAAAAAAAAGGTTATAACAAAAATACCGAACTCCAAAGTAATTCAAATAGGCGGAAGTCTGACAAAATCAAAGCTCTACTATCTTGAATTTATAACAAAAAGTTTAAGAACCTTCACTTTGTAAAGTTTGATTTCAGTTTGTTTAGTTGATCTTGGATTGAACATATTTCCTAAGTCAGCCAATCAGATATAAGAAAAGTTCCAAGGCGTCCTTGTTTGTCGACGAATCGAAAATTAGAAGGATCTTGTAAGGAACGTTGCGGCAACGTTTGGTTTTATTCTGTTCAGTGGCTTTCAATATCGAAATATAAAAAAGCTAACAGACGATTAAGTCCAAGTGATGCAAAAACTCATATTGGCTTTTGACCAAGTGAGCTAAATAAGTCTAACCTGTGGCTCCGTTGGCTGCTACCTGTGCTCCTTGTTGTAAAGCCTGATTTAACAGATCTGTTCCTTGTTGAGCAGCAGCTTGTCCTACTTGTTTAAATGTTTCTGAAAAGGTTTGTCCAAGGGCGTTAAGCTGTTCTTGAAGCTTGTCCAGAACTCCTTTGAATGTGTCCTTTAAGAATCTTTTCCTTTGGTAACAAAAAAGTGAACCTTTAAAATTTATTCTTCGTTCATATTAAGGTACATATATGTTGGCCCAAACGAAGAAATGCATTGTACAAGGACACGATGTTGTCATTAGTCATTAACTGAAATGTACTAACTTTAAAATTCAAGCCTACATTCTACGGTTAAACCGGAAATTCTCGGATAGAACAAATGAACGAGAAATATCCTAATTTATAGTTGATTTTCGCAAGTTATGTAGTGGAAAGAACAATTCATGACATTGATGTTCCGTTAGACAGCCATTTATACCTAGTTGAAAACTTGAGTGGAAACAATCACAGCACAATTAACATCAAAGTTTACATAAATGAAATCAGAATAGGCCCTGATATAATTTCCACGTTTCTTTTTCATCATATTTTTAAAGGCAGTTTCGTCTAATGATAACCCTCGGTAAACAGGAGGTTTACTAGTGCTGTATTGAAACACGCATTATATATTGCATTCAAATTTCAGAAAACCTTGATTTTCCTGAGAAAAATGCAACTTAAATATTTGACGAACGGACTGAAATATGGACTGACGTAAACTAATATAGCATCTCCTAGCGGGGTAGTATTATCCTGGGAACAGTATATATATATATGTTCCTGTATTATCTAAGCAATACTGCGCTTGATTTTATTTTTACCTTGTTCCATCAGGATGTTGGAGATTTGTTAAAAGACCTGAAATCCAAAAAAAATGTGATAAATCGACATTCAATGTTTTACTACACAATGTAAGCGGAACTGGAGTTAAATATGATTCTGTGTGTTGATGTGTACTCTGTCACTTTAAACGGGTTTAAAACCATTGTACCACTATGCAAACGATCATTTTATGACATGTGTCTGCATAATAATAGGCAGTATGCCAATTTAAGCGATATACATTTCGATTTTTTCTGCATACCATTCCCATATGTCATAATATAATGATAGCGGGTTATAGGATGTGGTTCCTATTCCGCATCGTTTGAAAACTTAACATTGAGAGATGAGGTTTCAATAAGAAGTGATACAACATTCAATTTCATTTCCTTTTTCTTTCCACGATACTGTACCAATGGCACGCATGTAGCGCGTACTGAAATCATATCGGTGGACAAGTTCACACTATAATTTCATAGTAAACTGCAGTTGATATAATGGAATGCACTCTCAATTCAAACTGAGGAACATTATTAGATCGTAAGCCTTTAACAGAACTTACATTTTTCATCGAGTAATAAACCTCTGTTTGAACGTCAAACCACCAAACCTCCTTATTTTTATACGTCAGTTTATGAGACGTATTATGGTATACCGTTGTCAGTCCGTCCGTTGTCAACAATAACTCAAAAACGCTTCAACCAATTTTCGATTTTTACAAATTTTCGATTTTACGTTTCCGAGTTGTGGGATTTTATTCATAAAAATGGGGATTTCCCAGTTTTTGGTGAATAACTCAAAAATGCTTTGAGTAGTTTTAATGAAACTTTGGTGACTGGTTTATATTTATTAAAATAAGCTCCCTTTATTTTTTTTATATAAATTTCTGATATGACATTGAGGAATTATGGAACTTTATTCGTTTAAAAAGCGACGGGCGTATCATGCGCTCATGGCGCAGCTCTTTATTAAATTCTACTACAACAAATGAAAAGATATTAACCTGTTGCTCCATTTGCAGCAAGCTGTGCTCCTTGTTGTAAAGCTTGGTTCAAAAGATCTGTCCCTGATTGAGCAGCAGCTTGTCCTACTTGTTTGAATGTTTCTGAGAAGGTTTGCCCGAGAGCGTTCAGCTGTTCTTGAAGCTTGCTCAAAACTCCCTGGAATGTGTCCTTCAAGAATCTTTTCCTTTAGTAAGACAAACAAAAAACTAATATGATTAACTATCTATTTCGTTCAAAGACACATGTATGGTCGGAGTGAAAAAATACAATGCATAGATCCGAGGGCTCTATAAAATATATAACATACAATTAAGGTTCATAGTAATTTCAAAATCGAAGTCCAAAATCTGTGCTCAAAACCATAATATCACGGATAGAACAAATGGAACAGAACTGTCTCATTTGTTCAAGGAAAAGTGTTGGCTAGAACAATCTATCAAACGACATTGGACATGGTCAGTTGTGCACATTCTGCGAAACATATATTCTGTATTGTAACTGTAACACTCTTTGTACATAAGTCTTCTAATTAACTTTCTTATAAAATTTTAACTCTTAATTATATATAGATTACTTCGTTAACTTTATGACAAGATTTGTTTTTTACCTTGTTCCATCAGGATGTTGGAGATTTGTTAGAAGACCTGAAATAAAAACGTGTGCTGATTCAACATTTGAATATTTTATCCGAAAGTCTAACGGGAGCTGGAGGACAATCAGATTGTTATATGTTTTCGAACACCTTTAACAGCTGAATATCCTGTGAATATACTGTCAAAAAAAGGTCTGTAAAACATTTAAGGACATTTGATTTTAAATTATACATAATCCGAGTCAATATGCTTACTTTGTCATCAAATTTTGCTTTCTTCCCTTTGTGCTAGATTTTTTGTTTAGATACCTTTCCGATTCTGTATGACTTGAACATATTAAATGTTAGTTCACATCATGGTGTGTTACAATGTTCGATGAAACACCTATGATATATGATACCAGTAAAGCTATAACAACCCCAAATCTACGACACAAATAATGCCAACATGTTGAATAAATTCAGATTTCTTTGTTTGTTAGATTTTTTTTTAGGAACGTGGGTTTTTTTTTCTCACAAAAGTTATCATTTTTCTTAAAGAGTGGCCTTTATTCGATTATAAGATTCTTGCATTATCAAAAAAGTATAACAAAAATACCGAACTCCAATGTAAATCAAGGAAGTTGTTAATCTTTTTTTGTTTTATATTTTGTTTTCCTTAAAACTTATCCCTTTTAAATTTATTTATAAGATCCTTACATTATCATGGAAGTTGTTAATCTTTTTAAATCTACAAATTCATAAATAGAATAATTCCAAAGAATAGTGTAACTGAGCTTCAGTTTAATTTTACTTTACGTAATGAACTTCTGATTTGAAATAAAACCACCAATCTCCTTATTTTCATATTATACTACAGCAAATGAACAGATGCTTACTTGTTGCTCCATTAGCAGCAAGCTGTGCTCCTTGCTGTAAAGCTTGATTCACAAGATCTGTTCCTTGTTGAGCAGCAGCTTGTCCTACTTGTTTGAATGTTTCTGTAAATGTGTTCCCGAGAGCTTTCAGCTGTTCATTAAGTTTATCAAGAACTCCTTGAAATGTGTCCTTTAAGAATCTTTTCCTGCAGTAATAAAATGAAACCTTATATTTCAGTATCAGTATATATGTGTTACGGACGAAAATATACTGCATTTATTAATATCTGAGACATTATCAGCCAAGTAAAACAGAAAATAATTACTAAATTTTATAGAGTCCATTTTTTGTCAAATAACATGGGAAAAATGGAGCAGAAAGTTTTATATCACCTTGGCGAATACAACATTTTACAGTTCTAAAGTTTCCATTACAAAGTCACCCAAGTTCCAACTACTTCAAACTTTTTTGAAGAAGTAGTGCATGTATAAAGTATTGAGATATATAAACAGGTTAGGTCAGCATAAGTTCTATTGTAATTTTACACACAAGTCGCCAACAAATACAACTTTTCTAAAAACGTAGTCTCTCTATGCGATTACCATGTTTATTTAACTATTTATTATTTAAGTTAAACATGTAATGCATGCTATAATTGTTAGGCAGGGTCACCAGCTTTTTTAATGTTTTCAGAATTCAGGAGCTTCGGTAGAAGATTTTTATATAAAACAAATCAATATTTGCACTAAATATTCAATTTTCTAGGTTTATAATACATACTTAACATTACTGTGCTTGACTTACCATGTTTTAAGTGAACTTATCAACTCTGTTTCAATTACTATTCATAATTATTTTTTCGTATGATAGTAAAAAAATGAATTGTATCATATTTGATAAATTCACACAAATCAAGACAAGACAAGTCTAGTGGTGTTAAATATGTGGTATAAAAGTACAAGATTGAATACTCAGAGCAAACAGTGAGAAAAAAAATCCTGTACCCAGGCGACTGTGGTTCATACAGATATTCAATTAGACCTTATTCAATAGAGCTCTCTATAATAATAGGTAAGCAATGGGGATCCGGAATTATATATTTTATAGGTTTCTATATATAAAAACAACTATAGAAACACTGTACAGCCTTCAACAATGAGCAAAACCCATACCTTAATGTAAACTATACAAGTCACCAGCAATTCAAAATAGAAAGCCAACGGCCTAATGCATGCAAAAATAACAAGAGAAGAACAAATAAAGATAGCAACAAACGACCACTACTGAATTATAAGCTTTTCGCTTGTTACAGACTCATAACAAATTTTTGGCGGGGTTGATGATCTTTGTTAGTATTCAATCCCCAATAAAATGAGACACTGGTGCAACTGCATAACACAAGAACAAACAATAAAAATGATTAAAAATCTCTACTCAATAGATCGGACTAGACACACAAAAAACCCTAACAAACGGACTAAAACAGAGCGCACCGATTTAAGAGTACTCGCAGATACTGAAACTTACTCACAGTTATATCTGTTTCTATGACAATTCAAAGTCTATAGCATCTGATTAATTAAATGTACTATGTTATAACTTACAAAACCAAATATTTTGTCTTATGTATATACTATACATCTTTCTAATTAAAGAAAGCTAGTCTTTTTAATAAAAGACAAATAGTCGCATGAACATGTATGAAATGCTGTGGATTAATAATTATAAAGTCTGTTTTTCAAAAAAGAGATAGCAATGATACATTACTATAAAATGTTCAACTTTAAAATGGTTTCATAATAGTGCTATGATAATGTTCATCTTCATATTCATATACTCAGTAAATTGCAGCAATGTCACATTGTCAATTGTAGCGTATTGATCTTCTGTTCTCATCCGTTATTCAGCAAAATGTAACTCCATTCATTGTTCACAATACCAGAAATTATCCTTCTTACCGACATTAACTTGACAGTATATATACAATACTGCGTTCTGACAAGATTTGATTTTTACCTTGTTCCATCAGGATTTTGGAGGTTTGTCAAGAGATCTGAAACAAAATAATTATATCTGATTCAACGTTTATGTAACTTCTTTCGACGAAAGTGTGAAAGAAAATTTTTAACTGGAAGGTGTCGTGTTTTGTGTAAATTTTTGTGTTTTTCTTTAATTGCTAATGTGAGTAGATGTGACAAATACAATTATCCAACCTCTTAACTGAGTTATTAAACACAAAGAATTATTCTCCTGTTTTTTATTGTTTAATAGTTTGATTTTTTTGAAAATGAATAAAATCATTACAACGAATAGTAGTACATTATAATAAAATATTTCCAACAGAAAATTTCTAGGTTGCATTTCTGTAAATATCAACAATGCAGTTTCCCATAGGAACTCCTTTTACGGCTAAAACTGTACCACTTTTACTATGAAGTTTTGAAAAAAAATATTTATAGGGCTGTGCGGCATATTTTCAACATTTATAAGAGTTTAAACTTACATTAAAATTCTGTACTACCCCTACCTTGACTCAATTTGACCGATATGAATATGTATATTTACTGGTAACATTCCCAAGTTATGTCTCTACGAGAAACATAGAGATCATATCTGGGAACCAGTACGTAAACAAAATTAATTATCTATGAATATTATATATCTCCCCAAAAGAGGGTGGTTTGAGAAAAAGCTGTATTTACAAAATGCAACCTATACTAACATTTATTCAATTAGAAAACCCTCTAAAAACACTTTTTCTCAAAACAATACTTATTTATCAGAATTATAGACTTAAAACAATTACTGCATATACTCTAAGTTTTCTTTTACAGTACATTTTATACCCCCACCCCTGTTTCAATTTTTTAAAGAATTTGAAAGCAAGACTTTAATTATCGCCAGCTTACCCTATGTGCATGTTTTCTGGCATGAAATGTCTAGAACCTGTTTTAAACTATTCTGATAACAAATTGAAAGCATTTCAGAATACTATAAATGTAATGTTTAGCAGTTAATCATTCTAACATTCAAGATTATATAAAATATCAAATCCTGCCTCTGGTCTCCAGTCCACATCTTACTGTATACCTATTTGTCAATGAAAGTTCACTATTTCTGCCTCAAGTGGTCAGTTTAGAAATCTTGTCACAACAGTATCATCTCTAACCATATATCTAACATAATTTAGCTAAGATATGAACTAGAAGTGTTTAAACAAAGCCGTATTTGCAAAAGTTGTATGTATGAAGATACCAGTCTGATGTATGAATTCACTAAAAGTTTAATAGAAATGACTGCTAACATCTGATTTTTGCATAACTTCCAAGCACAGTTATTGTTTTCTATACAAAAGACCTTTAAAATAATAAAATCATAGCATTTACAAGTTAACTTATTTGTTTTATGACCCAGGGGTAGGCATTTTTTCTCTGTTTTTGCCTCTGGGGCCTCAAATTTCCTAAATTATCCTGCTGTTTCTAGCAATATGGAATATTTAGTACATATTTAGGATAGATAAGAACATACTATTGTAAGTTTTATTGAGGTATTTTTGTATTTCTAGCTTGTATTTTTTATGCCTCGGTCACAAAAAAGCACATTTAGGTGTTACGGCTTACTTTTGGGTTATCAACAGGACAAAAACACCCCACCAATAATATTCAGGAAGGATCTATGAGTTTCAATGACTGCGAAGAGTAAATATAAGCACTTCTAAACAATTTAAATTACAAATATGCATATATTATGAATTTATTTTGCATTCAAGGCTTTAAGTAAACTATGCATACTGTAAACAGTGAATTTATGCTGAATCATCATAGTTAAGGCCCAGGATTTTCTCAATCTTCATGAAATATTTATAAAACTTCATATTTGAGTTAATTTCATTAAAATCTCTGAGATAAACTAAATTTGGTGAAATTCTGTATGTTCTCTTTTTTCACCCAACATAGGTTGCAATTCTGTAAATATCAACAATGCAATTTCCCATAGGAACTCCTTTTGCGGCTAAAAATGTACCACTTTTACAATGAAGTTTTGAAAAAAAATATATCCTAGAATGAAAAGTTCATATGCACTACTATTTTTTTCAAAGGTCAAAATATAGGGCTGTGCGGCATATTTTCAACATTTATATGGCCCGAACTTCTGAGAGTTTAAACTTACAATAAAATTCTGTACTATCCCTACTTTGACTCAAGGTTACCCACAGATTTCAATTTGACCGATATGCATATGTATATTTATTGGTAACATTCCCAAGTTATGTCTCTACGAGATGAAACATAGAATCATATCTGGGAGCCAGTACGTAAATAAAATTAATTATCTACGAATATTATATATCTCCCCAAACGAGGCGTAGTTTGAGAAACAGCTGTATTTACATAGTGCAACCTCTACCAGTGAAGTTAAACAAAAATCTCCAAAAGTGTTTCAAAGTGGAACGATTTAAAACAAAGTTAAAATAAATATATTCGTAACAAGCATATGACATATTTTCAAAATGTGATGTTTTCATCAAGCAATGGTAACGACCAATTTCATATCTGCATTTCCATATTTCTCATGTCAAACAAAGTCCCCTGACGGAGCCAGCAACGTTTGGCCCATTAGAATAAACCTATCAGCAGCCGATCTTTACCAAGCCAAATAAATTTGTCTTTTTTTCTCGATTCGATAATCAAATGAATGTATTTCCAATACATACTCAATAAAATTTTGTGAGTGTACTGCTGGACGTATATAGGAATTAGTCGTTTTAAAGGTGTAAATTTTCACATATGATAAAAAATTATTCTGAGTGTTCACAACTTTAGATATGATGTAATTGTTACATTCTACTAACCGTTTTAGGTGGAGTGTCTTTGAAATCTTTGAAATTTGAATTTCATTTTAGACAAAAACAAGTGTAAATCGGCATATTTTAAAATTTAAATATGTCCAACTAGAACTGCATAAGAATATCAATTAAATATTCTTAAAAAATGTAAAGGTTTACAATGTAAGAATGTTAATCGCAGCTTAACGCTGCATGGAATCTCTCATAAATACCTTAGAACCCCTACGTATTCCTAAAGATAATATTAATGCACATGATACTTCTGCTTATTGCCTGAAACAATGTTACAAGCGCCAATATGCATTTATATAAAACATTGAAACAGATCTTTTGAATATTTTAAGGTAGGATGTTATCCTTAACATAACGCATGTATGGAACATTGCGATATCCCAAGCCATTATCAGATCTTGGATATTTCTCTAGTATTGGACTTCTGATAAAAAAAGACGTTTACTTGTAGCTCCATTTGCAGCAAGTTGTGCTCCTTGTTGTAAAGCTTGGTTCAAAAGATCTGTCCCTGATTGAGCAGCAGATTGTCCTACTTGTTTGAATGTTTCTCCAAATGTTTGTCCAAGAGCATTTAGTTGTTCTTTAAGCTTGTCCAAGACGCCCTGGAATGTGTCTTTCAGGAATCTTTTCCTGGTGTGGAAAATACAAGTTTTCAGAAATTCTTTAAGCCATGGGTAACATCTGTATCGGCGAACAAGATTTTGCATTTGAGTATGAAGATATGGACAACACAGAAGCGTTTGTATCAATACAGACATGATTTTATTTAAAAATGAAAAATAATCTTCCATGAAAGTTCACCCATTTAAGATAGAATGTCAGCTTCTCTCTTAAAATGATTGGATTTGTATGTGCACTTGATTTTTGTTTTACAAATTGTCTGTTGAAGCATTTTGTACAAATGAATTGTTTGACAATTGAAGAATTGATTAATGTTTTTATCTAGCAATTTTCATATAATTATAATAACACAATTTTAAATGAAGCACTACCTTGTTCCGTCCTTGGCTGCTGCTTGTTGAAGGTTGGTTAGAAGACCTGTAAGAAAGAAATTTGTAAAAGTTTAGCTGAGGTTTTATTTATCGTGTTCATGTTATGATCCTTTACTATTTATTCCACCATTAGCATCATATGTTGCTTTTCAGATACTGGAGGTTAAATACCATCAATACAAAACAATTATCAGGCATTTCTTGCAGTAGTTCAAGAAATGAACAATAAGTACCTTGTTCAGTCCTGCGAATTAATGTAAATACTGAATCCTGGAAAATTTTCGGTCAATTAACGTAATGGTTTTCTTTTTAAAACGTTGTTATTTTGCCTGTTTAGTTTCAATTTTTAGCATGATTCACAGGACATTTGCTTGTCTATTCTTTTATTCAGGATAAACTTCATATGATATCAGAATTTGAACAATTTATCTCGGAATTGTCCCAGTGCATGATTATACTTAAAGAAATACTTGTTATAAACGAAAAAAATATCGAAAACTATGTATCATTATTGACAAATTGCTGGAATTATTAAATCATCTTATATAACCTTAGTTTCAGCACCCTATAAAAGGCCGATAAAAATAAAATTAGAAACACGATTTTGAAATAAACAAAAATGTGATGAGTCAATACAAACATCAATTCAGACAACCCAATTTGATGCAGACAAGCAATTGCAGAATATAGAGACATAATTGATATAGCTGTACAATGTTATCTGTTTGTGAACTTTTTCTATTCATTTGTGTCGTAAAGTGGCCATTGACGAAAAATGACAAACTTTTAATCTATTACATGATTGTTAAAATTCTTTTTTTTAACTTCTAAGAAAGTTGCATTAAATTTTATCGTTTGAGCATTTCAGAATAAGTTGTACCTGTTGCTCCGTTAGCTGCTAATTGTGTTCCTTGTTGTAAAGCTTGGTTTAATAGATCTGTTCCTTGTTGTGCAGCAGCCTGCCCGACCTGCTTAAAAGTTTCTCCAAAGGTTTCACCCAAAGCATGGAGTTGCAACTTCAGTTGATCCAAGACACCTTGAAATGTATCTTTTAAGAACCTTTTTCTGTAAATTTCTAAATCAATTTATCTTTGGACACATTGGAAAAAAAATGTTTTCTAAAAAAAAATGAACGATATAGATTTCTGCGTGCACGTCACATGTTTCTTGTTTAAACTTCTTCTGATTCTGTATAGATAACAAAATTGGAATGGATAAATAAAAATCATTGGAGATAACAAAATCCAAAAGATGGATGCTACTCCCTAAGTGACACCCTTATAGTGTGTTACTACGGTAGAATTAGATAAGTTAAAGTCGATGATAAGGGTTCATACCACAGTGCGGATTGCGAATTGTTTGTCTATTATATATCCAATATTAAAAGCCTCGTATTGATAATTCATCCAATCTATTTTATATCAATATACAATAACTAGATGTGTTTTGATTGCCAATAAGACAGCTATCCACAGGAGACTAAATAAAGTAGATATATGTTTCAAAAATGAAGAAATATACATAACCTTTTTCCGTGAAGATATATACATTACCTTGTTCCGTCGGGATGTTGAAGGTTAGTCAGAAGATCTAAATGACAATAAAAAAAATCGGTTACATCTTAATATTTCTGTATTGTCATTTTAACATCAGATACAAAAGGTATATAAACTAATACTAAAGTGTATTGATAGTTTTTTTAAGTTATCATACATTATTTGGACGTTTTCTTATGTTGTGAACTATATGAGTCAATTTATTGACAAAATTTAATGCTAACGCTTACTTGTTGCCCCATTTGCAGCAAGCTGTGCTCCTTGTTGTAAAGCTTGATTCAAAAGATCTGTTCCTTGTTGAGCAGCAGCTTGTCCAACTTGTTTAAATGTTTCTGTAAATGTTTGTCCAAGGGCATTTAGTTGTTCTTGAAGCTTGCCCAAAACGCCTTGGAATGTGTCTTTTAAGAATCTTTTGCTGAAAAAAGTCATCTGTAATCTTTAGTTGATAGAATATTAAATGAAATACTAAGGGCCATAAAATATCATATTAAAAGATGAAATGAAAAAGTTAAACAGATGCAACAACAACAGTCCACAAACCATTGAATAGAAGACGATAAAACGGTCAATACATAAGTTGATTTAGACTATTTCAACAAATTCGTTATCACTAATTTGATTCGTGATGACGATTTTGATGCATGATCACAATAAGTTGAATTCGTAATCTGGAATTTAAATTATATTTCTGGGAGGTCCTAAATTGGTTACCGTAGATGATATACTCTTAAATACTCTCAAAACAATGCAACTACATTTTATGTTTTTAGATAGGTCTACAAGCATTATTTTCTTGTAGTTTCATGCAATTAAACTCAATTTGATACCTTTCCCAAATTGAAACATTTTTTTTTAAATCCCGTATATCAAATTGATTACACTGAAAAAAAACTTAAAAACCGACAAATATGTTCTAAAGTGTATCACTCGTCTAAAACAAAACCCCAAGACGTCCTTCAATAATGCAGATGTTCGTGTTTTGTTTTAAGTTATAATGTCAAAAAGGCGAAACATACTAGTGTGATATTTTATTTCGATGTAAACCTCTTTGACGCCGTTACGTAAAAACGTTTTTTAAAAGTAAATAAATGATTGCAAGTGTACAATTCATTGAAAGAACTGCCAACTGGTAACATAAGCCTATTACCTTGCTGTTGTTCTATTAGGATGTGCAAGATTAGTCAACAAATCTGAAAAAAGAATGTATTTCTGTAAATACTGAATATTACTGCCTATAAGGATATGTTATGGTACTAAAGAATTAACAAGAATGCACACGCTGAAATGTCTCGCCTTCTTTACTAATCATTGATATTATGTTGATAGTCCTAAATATAAAGCTTTATTACAACTGTCACATAAACTTAACATTAACCAAGTAAACTAAACATTGACCAATGAACCATGAAAATGAGGTCAAGGTCAGATGAACCATGCTAGGCAGGCATGTACAGCTAACAACTCTTCCATACAACAAATATAGTTGACCTATTGCTTAAAGTTTAAGAAAAACAGACCAAAACACAAAAACTTAACACTGAGCAATGAACCTTGAAAATGAGGTCAAGGTCAAATAAAACCTGCGTAACTGACATATAGATCATAAAATATTTCCATACACCAAATATAGTTGAACTATTGCATATAGTATTAGAAAAAAAGACCAAAACTCAAAAACTTAACTTTGACCACTGAACCATGAAAATGAGGTCAAGGTAAGATGACACCTGCCAGCTAGACATGTACACCTTACAATCATTCCATACACCAAATATAGCTGACCTATTGCATGCAGTATTAGAAAGAAAGACCAAAACTCAAAAACTTAACTTTGACCACTGAACCATGAAAATGAGGTCAAGGTCAGATGACACCTGCCAGCTAGACATGTACACCTTACAATCATTCCATACACCAAATATAGTAGACCTATTGCATACAGTATAAGAAAAACAGACCAAAACACAAAAACTTAACTATAACCACTGAACCATGAAAATGAGGTCAAGGTCAGATGACACCTGCCAGTTGGACATGTACACCTTACAGTCCTTCCATACACCGAATATACTAGACCTATTGCTTATAGTATCTGAGATATGGACTTGACCACGAAAACTTAACCTTGTTCACTGATCCATGAAATGAGGTCGAGGTCAAGTGAAAACTGTCTGACGGGCATGAGGACCTTGCAAGGTACGCACATACCAAATATAGTTATCCTATTACTTATAATAAGAGAGAATTTAACATTACAAAAAATCTGAACTTTTTTTTCAAGTAGTCACTGAACCATGAAAATGAGGTCAAGGACATTGGACATGTGACTGACGGAAACTTCGTAACATGAGGCATCCATATACAAAGTATGAAGCATCCAGGTCTTCCATCTTCTAAAATATAAAGCTTTTAAGAAGTTAGCTAACGCCGCCGCCGCCGCCGCCGCCGCCGTAGCCGCCGCCGCCGCCGCCGCCGTAGCCGCCGCCGCCGCCGCCGGATCGCTATCCCTATGTCGAGCTTTCTGCGACAAAAGTCGCAGGCTCGACAAAAATGTATTACCCTCCAATATGTATCTAGAAGTAGAAAAATACAAGCAACCAGCAACCGCGGGAAACACAAAACAATAAAACGGAACTTTTACATCATGGTTCAAACACAAAAATTATGTATCAATTTCAACTTCTTTGACATCCAAACATAGTTAAGTAATTGTCTAAACTTAGAATGAACATAAACAATAAAAGAGAATCGAAGACTGTCGAAACGATAAAAATGATAATGCTTAAAGGTCAGGGGGAATCAAGATGAAAAATCAGTACTAAGAGTTCACCTGTACGAACAGATAAGTAACAAACAATATCGATGAACTAACTAAAGTTTTGGTTCCAGACACTTTAAGCAGATGCATAACAAAACAGGTTCGAATTTGTCAAAAAATACAATAACGGTCGCCTCCGTAGTTGACATCTTTTTCTTCTATTTTTTTTTTTTTTTTGAAAAGTCCTCATCATATTTTGCACACATTTCTATTAAGAACATTGTTCAGTTGTTTGCATTCGAGCATTTTTGGATTTCAAATGATATATCTGAAAAAATTGTATAATTGCCATCTTGGTATCCTTTCATCGGACGTAAACCATGGAACAAATTTATTTGAAGGTATTCTTTTTTATCTATGTAGGGTCTATTTTGGTATATAGTACTGTCTCTGTTTGACGTAAACCCCATATCTCTTATTATTCATATCTTTAATTAAAGAGGGGAAAATTACAATAACTAACAGTTGCTGAACCATATTTTATATTTTATAAATAACCACAGTCAAGTGGTTGGAGAAAACAGCGGGTAAAGTTTCAAGCTAAATAATACTGTATAGGAAAATTGTGTTCAAATTTGGCTACAAGAGAGATTTTACTAGCAATGCAGCGGTATAAGTTCTTTCCTGGATTAAACTTAATATAATCAGGCAATGCATTTGTATTAACACGAGCCTACTACTTGGCGACAAAATCTTTAAATATTTGTTATCATGCTCTTACTATTCAAGTTAACAAGTTAATAAGGCTATAAACAAATGTGGTATGCACTAAATCTAGCAAACACAGGGTCGACTCAAATCGATCTCTGCTTACTCATTGCATTTTTAAAGTTATATGAATTTCAAAGTAAAAGAATGTGACTTGCGATGAAGTTGACCTTGTGTGCAAGATGTTCTTTTTGGATGAAGAACAAGAAGACGAAAGATTATAAACTCTTACTAAGATTGTTTCAATTTCAAAAAAAATATATTTTTTTTATCATTTCTATAACATTAAAATAAATGGAAAATAAAAAGACAAAACTTTTATCTGTACGGGTTGAATACTAGTAATAGAAATAGACAATTTATTTATGTTTAAAATTGTAAGCTATGGCAACCAAACGTTGTCAAACACACATACTAAAAGCTCCTTTCACTGCAAGATTTGTTCCTTGTTGTAAAGCCTGGTGTAATAAATCTGTCCCCTGCTGTGCAGCAGCTTGTCCAACTTGTTTAAAAGTTTCATTGAATGTTCCACCTAATGCATGCAACTGAAGTTTCAACTGTGCCAAAATGTGTTGTACGTCATCTTTCAGAAATCTCTTGCTAAAGAACAGAGTCTCAGATTAAGTACAAACCCTTCTTACAACAATAGAAATATTATGACTGTTCATAACAATATTTTTAAGTTCCAGCTTCAACAATTATGTTTTCGTATATAACAGCATGCTACATTCTTGAGTACCTTAACACTGTTGTTAAAATGAATTTCATTTTGAAATACTGACTAATACAATCATGATGTCAGAATAACCTCGCATGTTATCCAGTTAATTGGCAGAAAATGCCGTTTGAATGTTGCTTTAGAATATATATGTATAACCAAATATGATAAAAATGTGTTTTGTCAATAGAATATAGGAAGAAACGAAATATTTTTAAACAATTTTAACAATAAAAGTAGAGAATAACATACTTGATAGGCTGTCAAAAATTTTTGCGACCAATCATCAAATTTTAGATTAAAAACTTTGCTATTTGCAACGTTTGACAGTGTTAGCTAAATGAAACGTTAGAAAGTACTAAACACGTTATTTATTACCTTGGATCTTGATCTGTGTTGTGTTGGAGATTTGTTAGAAGATCTGAAAATATCGAACTTTGTTTAAATAGACTATCGCAAGGCGTCAATGCATTAATCTAAACCTAATATGTTGATTTCAAAGAAAACAGAAAAATACCCATAAAGAAAAAAAAACCAAACATGTTACTAGCATTTGTTTTGTTTTAATCACTTACTTGTTGCACCAGCTGCTGCAAGTTGTGTTGCTTGTTGTAAAGTCTGACTGAGTAAATCTGACCCGGACTGTGCTGCAGCCTGTCCAACTTGTTTAAATGTATCGGTAAAAGTATTTCCCAAGGCATGGAGTTGAACCTTCAGCTGATCTAATACACCCTGTAGTGTGTCCTTCAGGAATCTCTCCCTGAATGAGAATAACAGGTGAAGTAAATATGAACACTCGTGGTGAGAAAGGGGAGATGGTGTGGAGCTAGACACTAGGTTAATTTAAAAACTTTTAAATTCTAGGAAACGGATTAATATAAGTTAACAACTTGCTTCCGGATGCTATTAATTGCAAATGCGCTAATATGTGCATGCCAAATTATGTATATTATTCAACGTGAATTTTATTGATAAACTATGTTATCATTAAACGCTACAATTTAGAATAAATCTTAAATACTTTATTTATTTAATCAATTATTTCTTTTTCATTAGGTGATTGTTTGATTTTCAAGGGTATTCATGTATGTCAATGAAAACAGAAAAGAGTCAAATGACACCTAGAGTTAAATATCATGTCTTACTCTTCCATAAAAGACACGTGTAAGTGAAATAAGCCATGCTCTTAATTGCATTATTTAAAAAAAAGCTGTGAATAAGTCTAACTCATCTACTAACAACTTAGTTTGTGTAAGCTGTTTTTATAATGTCCGGGTCTATGTCTAATCAGTAAATCTTTGACAGAGAGTTCATATCCATTTCGTACGTGCTTCTCAATTCTTCCTACGTGTTACGTATGGAAGAGAACGGATAAGATCTCTGCGTCTGAGATTGCTCCGAAGTTGGCTTGTCCCGAAACATGTCAATTACCGTTTTTTTTTTATTACTTCGATTTTGTTAAATTCTCCAAATCAACCCCAGTCTAAAACAGTTGTGAATAAATTCTCCAAATCAACCCCAGTCTAAAACAGTTGTGAATAAATTCTCCAAATCAACCCCAGTCTAAAACAGTTGTGAATAAATTCTCCAAATCAACCCCAGTCTAAAATAGTTGTGAATAAATTCTCTAAATCAACCCCAGTCTAAAACAGTTGTGAATAAATTCTCCAAATCAACCCCAGTCTAAAACAGTTGTGAATAAACTCTCCAAATCAACCCCAGTCTAAAACAGTTGTGAATAAATTCTCAAAATCAACCCCAGTCTTAAACAGTTGTGAATAAATTCTCCAAATCAACCCCAGTCTAAAACAGTTGTGAATAAATTCTCCGAATCAACCCCAGTCTAAAACAGTTGTGAATAAATTCTCAAAATCAACCCCAGTCTAAAACAGTTGTGAATAAATTCTCAAAATCAACCCCAGTCTAAAACAGTTGTGAATAAATTCTCCGAATCAACCCCAGTCTAAAACAGTTGTGAATAAATTCTCCAAATCAACCCCAGTCTAAAACAGTTGTGAATAAATTCTCAAAATCAACCCCAGTCTAAAACAGTTGTGAATAAATTCTCAAAATCAACCCCAGTCTTAAACAGTTGTGAATAAATTCTCCAAATCAACCCCCAGTCTAAAACAGTTGTGAATAAATTCTCAAAATCAACCCCAGTCTTAAACAGTTGTGAATAAATTCTCCAAATCAACCCCAGTCTAAAACAGTTGTGAATAAATTCTCCAAATCAACCCCAGTCTAAAACAGTTGTGAATAAATTCTCCAAATCAACCCTAGTGTAAAACAGTTGTGAATAAATTCTCTAAATCAACCCCAGTCTAAAACAGTTGTGAATAAATTCTCTAAATCAACCCCCAGTCTAAAACAGTTGTGAATAAATTGAACAAGATAGTCAAAGATCTGTAGCAAATCCACTGAATGTTTAAAACATTGAGAGACAACAAACGACAACCACTGACGAGTTTTGTTGAGATATGCTTTGGCTGGGTTATAAATGTCTTAATGTTTTTGGTCATTTTGGCCATTTTGTGGTGATACAGATCTTTGAGAGTCCATGCAGCTTTTATGGATTCGGGCCGAGTTGAAACTTTACACTTCGCATAGATACTTAGTCTTGACGATTGTTGAAGATCGTATGCTGGCCTCGAGATGTCTTTTAAACTTAATCACAATAAATAATGCAACCTTCTTGTGAATAAAATAATAAAGTACATATCGTAGTAAACACTTACTCCTTTGTCGGTCTGGCATCAGCTGCTACCAGAAGGCAAGCCGTTAACAAAACCAGAATCTTCATTCTATTGTTGAGGCAAAATTCAGTGCATCATTATATCATTTGTAAACACGTTTGACTTGAGCTACTCATAATAATTTGTTTAAACAATTTCCCCTTGGAATTGATTTTGAATAAGAACAATTTTGATGTAAAAAAAATTTCGTCAAACTGTATGATATATTTAGTTTATGGGTGTGTTTTCATTTGTATCTATGTGTTTTCCTTCCTTGGTGGCTCGTGGACATTTGAAATTTAACTTGACCCATTAACAACTGACAAATCCAGAGTATGTAACATGCATAAAAAGATGATTATGTGGTGTGATTGCCAATGACAAAGCAGAAACCAAATGACGTTGATTAAAGAAACTATAGATCACCGTACGGCCATCAACAATCAGCGAAACCCATTTCGTATAGTAAGCTATAACAGACCACGAAATGATAAAATGTAAAACAACTCAAATGAGAAAACCAACAGCCTGATTAATGTACAAAACTTGAGACAGGCACATAGTATCAACCAATCATGCGATCACCCAACCGTCCCACTAACCTGCATGGGACAATTGGTTAACAGCGCCAAAAAAGAACAAACGTATACGTTTTTAACCATTTTCAAAACTGAATCATTTTTACTACATTGTGTGTTTATCAATGTTACGCGCTTACTTAATTACACCAACACACGACATTAAGTAAAGTTAAATATATATTTTTCATTATATCATAAACGGAACTGTATTGGATGCAATTCAGGAAAACAGAGATTCTTCCATATAGAAATGTCACCAATGATAGACGTATTATGAATTCTTGATACATTCATTTGTAAGCTATTTTGACAATAAATGTAAGGGATTGATTTGTTTTTCCTCATTAATAGATAATTTGACGATTGATGACTTCTGCAAAATCTATCTTCTTCATCTCAGAAAATAAAAGCATGCACAGTATACAGAAAGGTCATAGTCTGACAGCCTATATTAAGATTCGTGACTCGAAGTTTTCTTAAAAATCAGATTCTTAATATCCGATTAAAATATCTTGAAACTCTTTATGCTTGTGTTTGTTATTTGTTTCAAAATTGTTTTGTTTTTTTCATTGTTATTTATTTGAAGAATTGCAATGAAATAATACAAAGTACTTTATTTAGTTTGCTGTACACTTACCTTCTTTGTAGTAGTTAGCGAAGAAATGAAATGGCATGAATGTCTAGTATATCAGAAAGGTCATGAGAATTTCACAGATGTGCAAGATTAACATCACGCCGTTCCAGTATAAGGGTTATACATGCCGAAGACATGGTCGTTAAAACGTGTCTAATGTTCTGATGAGTTCCTGGTCATGGTATGGTATTAGGAAACTTTCAAATTCACTTAGACCTTAGATATTAGTACATACACACCTTACATTACAAAATCAACCTTTCTATGTGTATGTATAATTATAAGGACTTTATCAAGTTTAAACATATTTTATTGTTCTGAAACTAAACAAACGGATTAGAAACAAGTTTTACAATTTAGTAATATCTTCTCCAGTAAGGAATCTGTGTAAAGTGGAAATGAGAAGTTTTGCAACTTGACACTCCTATAAGCACTCCTTGCTTAAATGGCTCCCATTTGTTTGAGTAGGACATATTAATACAAAACTAAATTCGGTCGACCTGACAGAATATCAGTCTTTCTGTTGGATAGAAAATAATGATAAGCTATCTTAAATATTTCAAAATGAATCGAAAAATTGTAAAGAAATGTTTTTCAATATATAATGTGTTATGCATCAATATTAAAGAATACTGCAGTAACAGATAAATCCGTGTGCTTGTTTTTTGTTGTATTTTGTTTTTCTTGGGAGGGTTTTTTTTTTAAAAGATATGTGCATTCGAAAAGCTAAGACAGGAATAAAGATCAATCTATTTTTCTTATGGAACAATATATGGAAAGAAACAATAATCATTTGTATGAAATATGTAGTAAAAAAACAAGAATCAAAATTATTTGTTAATTTTAAAAGTAAAAATAAATACAGGAGGTTTATATGCAACGTGTTTTAATGAATGGTCTAGGACAAAATCCGGGATGCAGGTCAAAATAGAAGATCATTTGAAAATGGTGAAATGTAAGTAGCGAATTTCAGCACGAAAAGTTTTAAAAAATAACAATGTGATATTCGTTCGACAGCACCTACAATGCAACTAATCAGAACTTTCTAAATCATCTTTGATTGAAATAGCGTATTTTTCGTACAATTTCAAAGACTTTTTTAAAACTGAATATTTACAACCAACATTTAGTAAATGCCCATACAGGAAAGAACCTCCTTGTAGACTTATTGTTATGTTATCCTTTGATTTCTTTCAAGATAGATAACATCATACAATTTTTCAATGTAAAATTCCTTTTTATACAAAGTGTTCTAAATATAGAAGTATTGATTACAGAAAAAGTTTATGAATGTGAAAGATTACTGAAGATACTTTATAGTACATTGAACACGGGGACATATTGTACCGTGTTCACAATATTAGGGTTATGTCAAAAGAGTTCTGTGAAGGGAGAAATTATAAAAAAATTGTGCAGTTACTTTTTTAAATATTCATTTTTAACATATACTTTTTCCAGCTGGTAAGAAATTCGTATTATTGAATTGACCTAGTGATCCCTTAAACGGTCAGAATGCAAGTAAAAATATATCAGACGTCTTCGGTAAACATTGGAATTACACGGAAACCTTCGGAAAAGGCATAGAATTGGTACATATCAACTATTCTTTGATTTCTTTCAAAATAAAACATTATGGAATCTTTCGTAAAATTCCTTTAGACAACATGGTCTAAATATTGAAATATTGATTACAAGAAAAGTTATTGTGAAAGATTATTTGAGATACTTTACAGTACAAACAGGGGGAAACATTGTACCGTGTTCACAATTTATTAGGTCTGTTTATGTCAAAATGGTTCTGTGAGCTAACTCCATTTCAGGGAGTAATTGTTTTGATATCTTATTTTTATAAATGTAATTTTTCCATCTGTTAAGGAATTTGTATTATTGTATTCACCTAGTGGTCAGGAAGACGGTCAGAATTCAAGTACAAAATATATCAGGCGACTTTGGTAAACAATGGAATTCCTCGGAAACCTTCGGAAAAGGCATAGAATTGGTATATATCATCAATAATGTATGTGCATTGGTTTGGTTTAGTGAAGTTGAAAATTTCTCAAAATTATTTAATCGAACACACCTGAAGCAGTTCATTTTGTACCGTCCTTTTGTACCTTAATGAATTATTAAGATGTCCTGATTAGATCAATTTGGAATTTAGGCTTCAATGTATTTATATTTTAATGACATTGTTTGTCATCTTGGTATCTATTTTTTTTTTATAACTTCCCTGATTCGTGCTTACATACGCCGTCCGGGATGCGGCTCGCTAAAATTGCTTCCCTTGTTTATTTCGCTCTCCGGTCAAATCATGTCATTTCGCTGCCTCCAATGGTAGACGCGACAACGATGGGTGTCGTCAGGACAGGTACGCTTAAAAAATTCCGGTAGGAACTAGATGATCCCCATTGGTATAGGTGAGTTGTATGATAGTTGTTGCTTTAGGATAAATGCATGTTGTAGAATAATTCATAATCGGGAATAGTTGGAAAGGAAAGAAACGTGTTGCTACGATGACCCGGAAACCGAAGGTAGAAAATTTTAAAAAAATCTAGAGACGATCGTTCTGAGTGTGCCACCTACACATTCGAACATGTACACAACCACAGTATCCCCTATCTATCTAATGTGTTTGCATAAATATGTGATATAGGGCAAAAAAAGGTAGCAGTTTTTTTTATATGTTGTTGTTAAGCATTTTCAGGGGAGATAATGTTATTTTTACGTGTGTGTTTGATTAGGTTTGTTACACTAACATTATATAATACACACTGATAAAGTCGCTTAAAAGTGCTTATTACACAAAATGAACTCTATGCCAATTATTCTTTTTACCGGGTTATTGGTTCTTTATCCTAACTAAATGTTTTTGTGGTTTATATTACAAAAAGGGGGGTGCTTTAAAAACACCGGAATACCTTAATAATACCTACAATACCTGCAATTGTTTACAGAATAAGAGAGATATTTCGTATTCTAAACCTAATTTTTCTCACATATTCATCAGAAAATATAGCCAAATGTTAAGTATGTATATCCATCCCCCCTTTTTAAATTCATTATTTAAACAGACAGCTCTTAAGAATATGCAATAACCTAACATTGATAATTTAGCTGACAATGAATCCAGTACATTTTCCCAACAAGTAAAGACCAATGAAAACATGGGCAATATGATTTGATATGATTTGAAAACTTGGGCAATTAAGTAAGATCTTGTGGTTTCATAGACATTAATTATGATTCAACATTTTCGATTTATATTTATCTTTAATTCATATATATATATATATATATATGATGTATATATTTCGTGATGCGTCTAATGTATAAATCCAGTGGCCTGTGTTCAGATCTGTTTGTATGGAGAACATGTGGTTGGAACCCCCGCTATTACTTGTTAATTTTTTATTTTTAGCAGTAATGCTCGAAAAGGAAGATGGACAGTAATTTTATCAAGAAGATATGGAGATTGTTTCCGAACAGATTCCTTAACATTATGGTTTAGAAGAGACTCATGAGCCTCATCTAGTGCAAGCTGCTGACATGCCCTACCTGTTATGCTGGCTGAAAAGCCCCCATTTTGAAATAAAGATATGTAGGAGAAACAATCTCTATCAATAAAATTATCCCACAATAGGAACTGTCTTTTTTTTCTTCATGCAGAATTTGTCAAACGTATAAACAATCTCTATCAATAAAATTATCCCACAATAGGAACTGTCTTTTTTTTTCTTCATGCAGAATTTGTCAAACGTATCCATAACAGAAGATATCTGAATGTCTCCTTCATACATTTGTAGTGCTGATGGTAATTCAGATGCACAGTTGTATTTCTTCTGTTTCACATATTCATTAATTTCTTTCACAAGCTCTAATGTTTTGTGATTTTATTGATGAGATGATATAGCTCCTCTCTCTTTGTTCCAAGATGAGATGATATAGCTCCTCTCTCTTTGTTCCAAGATGAGATGATATAGCTCCTCTCTCTTTGTTCCAAGAACTTGATCATCTGAACTTTGTTTTTTTTTTTTAAATTGGAGCCCTTTTCAAGAACAGTTAAAAGAACATCTGCTTTGTGTTTAATTTTTTCTATCTTTTTAAGACCAGCATCAAAATAAATTTTAAATAAAACAGGTTGTACATTCTTCAAAATGTGCCAGTCCTACGGAAATGTTAACATCCAAGAAAGCTGTTCAGTATATTCATTTTTCAACTTACAAAATACGTAAAAGATTTTAGTTGATGACTTCATGAACCAAAAATGCACTTTTAAAATTTGATGATTTTAGCAAAACAACATTAATTATGGGGCACTAGTATGATCTAGTATCGACATTGTTAGCTCTAAATATGACCCAAAAAGTTCAAACAAATATGTAAACACACTAGAGTAATATACTATAGTGTACGTATGTGTAGTACGTGAAATATGAAGACACACGTGTACTAGTTGTAAAATTGAGCATGTATGAGAAAAACTGAAATTATAGTGAGCCACCGTATAAGGTAATTATATAATAAAAAACTAATATTAGTGAGTCCTTATGTGAAGAACTTTAATATTCTTGAATATGTTTCTGAGTTGTGAAGAACTAACACAGAACTTACATTAGGACAGTTATTTAAGTAAAGAACTATAATACAAGCGAGTCCTTACGCGAAGAACTATAATAATAAAAATTGAGTCTAACGTAAAACTGTTAACTTAGTCAAGATCTCGTATGCACGACTCTAAATGTCTAACAACTTTTCGACAGTGGGTAAACTATTTAAAAAAGAAAAAGATATAAATAATAATTCTTATGAATTATATTTGAGATCAAAGAAAAATGATCACATCATGTCGGCGGACAATTGTAAGATGCTATAAGATCGAGAAAAAATATAACGAAAATATAACACAAAAGAAATCACTGAAACAACTACAATCCGAATTTAAGACGCAAACCCATCACTAGAAAAACACATGATCACATAGTCGGCGGGCAACTTTCGACTTTTAAAACGTTGTATGATCGAAACATATTACAAAAAAAAAAACCAACTGCAATCCACAAATAAGACGCAAAGAGTCACAAGAAATAACAAGACCACGCAACTGTCGAATTGTCAAATATTGTATGATTGAACACAAAAATAACCAAAACATGACACCAAAGAAATAAGACGCAAACTAAATTACAAGATCAATGTTAGATGTATCAAACAAAATTCCGAAAGTACAATTGGTTTAACACAAACAATAGGAATACAACGATATAAATCTTTGCTACCCTTAGTCCTATAATAATAAGTTTTTAATCGGACTTTTTTTTACTATCAATGTTGAACCTCAAAGACTTCGAAGGCTCATATTATTATTTACATTAAATGATGTTACATATATAGGACGGGGTGTGTTCGATGCATGAATCAACGAGGAAACCCCGCAAGATGACATCCAACTTTGAAATTACGTACACATGTTAAATATTGGTGTGCCACTTTGGGAATGGTCTTAACCGATTAATAATTCATTTCTCAATATTCGTAATTTTCCCCAGATTGTTTCTATGTCGGGCAAAAAAAAGTAGCAGTTTATAAGGAGACCCTCTAATTGACATAACAGCTGGACTTCTGGTCGTTTTAAAAACGATTGTTAGCAATTTGCATTGTTAACAGTTGTACAATATGAAAATGGATCAACGTGAATGCAAATTTTCATAATGTTTTGACGGAATGTAACTTTTGTGACAACTTGGCAACCGTATACAAAGTTTATTTCACTTTTCTACCTTCTAAACACAAGAGTTCGAATTCTTTTGTTTTATTTAAACCGCATACCGGACTGGATTGAAACAGTGTCAAGCTTTAATAGTTTTTTTATCAATTTCGTCGAGACGACCAGTTTCTGATCAATACCGTTCAGTCGGCTACGTACTTCCGTTAGCAGCCTACTCACATCATTAATTAGTTTGTTGATGAGGTAACAATCGCAACGGCGGCAACTGCTGTGTTTGGAAGGGGCCTTGGAATAGCATCGGTACATGATTAGTCACGTTTTGAGGTTGGGGTGGCGGATATTGTAAGTATTGTGCTGGATATAATGGTGTACTAGTAGCAAGCTGAGGCGTATACCCGGTAGTTTTATTCGGGATTGCATAGGTATGTTCATTTAAACTGTTTATACACGATAAGGCGTAAGACATGGTGTTCGATATTGATTCCTCCTTGTCAATATTAACTTCTTTACTGTTGTCCAGGCTTAATGCAGATTGGGATGCGCTACTATCTGAAACCTCGTCTTTGTTGCGTTTCTTTTGTGGATTTGAAATGCTAATTATTTTTGTTGAGTCGCTTTTTTGTGGTAACGTTGCAGTGTCGTTGTGTTGTTGTAACTTTGTAGGGTCATTATGTTTTGATGAAGAAGGGTTAATAGTTTTATTTTGACCAGGATGCCTGTTCTTCGTCATAACGGTTAACTATATTGTATATGTCTACATTGATTAATAACTATCGTTTGAACTATACTCATATGTCTGTGTATACAATGTTGTTTACCTTTTCTCTCGATTCATCTACTCATACCAATGAAAACAATGAAAACTTCTTTCTGCGACAGTTTTTTGTTAATAGAAACTTTATTAAGGGCAGACGTTACAGTTTTGATCCCACAATGAAAATTTGATGAAAATTTGCAAATAGGCTATTTTTCACCTGATTAAATCAAATATGTAATAAAAAATGTACCTTTATGTGCTACTTTTTGAGTAAAATGAGTTCGAAATTTCAGATATTGGCTCAAAATTCGGATTTGTGGACGTATTTTTCCTTCCGACAGAAATGCATAACTTTTTTGTTTTAAAAGATAAACACAAGCTGTTTTTTGTTAAATTATTTGTAATTTCTGTTTTATATAAGTATCCTATAAATTTATGAAATCTTTTGTTTAGAAATAACTCAAATTTATCAAATGTTCATGAATGTAGAAAAAAACGTCATTTTTTGCTGTATATTTATCAAATTTAAAAAAAATTGCATTATTGACTTTTTCATGAAAATTGGTACAAATAATCTTCATACGTAATCAAACCGAATGTCATTTTAAAAAAGAGGGGTCGATGAACTCGTTTTCAAGTTAAATCAGTTTGAATGATAAAAATCAGTCGAAAAATACATCTTTTCCCGATATGTCACAGTTTGACGTCGCCAAAATAACATTTTACGTTAGCAACGTCATTACCTCTCCTGTAACTGTATCGTATGCCCTTAAAGCACAAATTACACCCATAAGAAGGCCAAAGGCATGACAATTACATGTAATAACAATATAATGATGACATTAAAATTTACATAAAAAATAAAAATAAACCAAAACATTAAACACAACAAATGACCTCAAGTGCCCCCTGTCCTCAGTTCCATAGACTGTGTGCACATACAATAATATAGAATAATCCAAGTTGCACAAGTTAAGTCCAAATTTATTTTTGATATATTCCATTTATTACACTTTAAATCATATTTTTGTCTACTCAAATTTCCTGATGTTTGCCATGATCAGGTCCCATAACTCAAAACAATGATATTATTCACTTACACAACACCAAACAAAATTGTTTTCAGGTGAAAGTATGAAGCCAACAACATATTGATGTATGATTAATAAACGATAAGAAAAACAGTTTTTAAAAATCCTGTATAAACTGCACTTGGGAATTTTGTCTACTATGAAATTGAGTAATGTCTTCCTAAATCGTTTTATTAAACACAATATACATACAAGATAACATGGTATCTTTTTTATTTTACTATTCTTTATATATTTTATCAAATTATTGCTGAATTGTGGTATACATGGTATATGAACATATGTATGTGTGTGTAATATATGTGGCCACTAATTAAAAACACATTCTTTCCTGAATAAAATATATAAAAAGGAAGAAAAATAGAACTTACCTCTGTGTAAATGTATAATCCTTATAGAGCAAAAACACTTTGGTACTTTGCAATTTACACGAGTGTTAGTGACACAAATTATATAAGTAGGTCATAAACAGACCAACCGATAAAGCTGTCAATTTCATTGTAATTTCGGTGTACTCTATTACGCTAAAAAAAAAAGTTCAATCCGTTCTCATTCACATCTTTTATTTTATTTTTTTTTTTATTTTCCAAAAAAGGAAAAATCGAGAGCTCAAGATGCATTTATATATTGTGCATAACCAAAATTTCAAAAGAGAAAGAAATTGAATTTTAAGAAAAGAAAATAAAAGAAATTCTAACTGAATTGATTATTGCTCTCGTATCATATTTGATATTTAAATGAAATATAAGCTATAATGGTGTACTGTGGATTTAAACGAACACAAGCACACAGTTCGTATCAAAATGTTTCTAATTGTAATATTGTCCCTTTTTTCTTTGCTTCACATTTTCAATATGAACATTGCATACAGTTTTCACAACCTATTGTAAATAGTGTAAAATATTTTCTCGCAGTTACTTGTATATGTTCTGTATTGACAATCCTATGTATTTTCCATTTGTATGTTTTGTATCTCATGTTGCTGACACTGCTGACTTGTCTTTTGTACCATTTTATGAAACCTATCGACTATTACTTATTACAAGTTTTGTCTTTGACAATTGGTAATGATATATGTACAAATAGGTCATCGATAGGTCATTTCTATATACGAGCTTACTCATCAATTTTTAAAAAGTGTACAAAATATTTTCAATTTCATATCCTGAACTTAAAAAAAATAATTTTTATTTTTATCAAAAATATGTTATATGATTCCCAAAGTAATGAATGCATCTTTTACTGGTCCTTGACAATGACGTCCATCCCAATCCTGTCCTCGCGAATTTGAACTATCTATTTTTCACCTGAAAGCTAGAAGTGTTCGAAATAAGATATCTTATATTGAAGATATAGCATCTGAGTCATCTATCATTTTAAACTGAAAGCCATTTAGACAATAATGTTTCAAATTCTGATATAGTTATCGACGGCTTTTCAAGTGACACCTTTAGGAAGGATCGGGGCTGTTTTGGGGTGGCGTCCTTGTATATACATCTCAGGATATTTGTGTAAAACGAAGACAAGATCTAGAATTTGGAGCAAGCGAACTAATATGGTTTGAAGTCTTAATTCCAAATTTTAAACTACTAATTTGTGCTGTATATAGACCACCCGGAAAAGGAAAAGACTTCTGGTATAACTTGGACAAAAAGTCCTATACTAGACATGTATGGTTATATATAAACATGCAGATTACATTTCATTAAACGTAGAAATTCATAATTACGATTGGGAAGTATTACTGAATTCAACTACAGACGTAGATGATTTGTCTGAAAGATTTACAAACAAATATCTTGAGATGATACGGAAACATATACCGTCAAAGGCAGTTCTTGTCCGACCTAACGATAAACCTTGGTTTAATTCGGAAATCAGAAGGGATATCAGAATCCGGAATCGTCTTCATTCTGTGCATAGGAAAACCAAAACCAACCATGCTCTTATTAAGTACAAATTTAGGCGAAACAAAGTTAATAATATGATAAAATACGCCCGCGAGCAGTTTTTCTTAAGTGCCAATGAACTTGTCGACTCTTATCTCGATAACCGACTCAAAGGCTTATTGGTTCTCTTATTAGAAAACTTATAAAGAGAACTAATAATAATTATAATATTCCACCACTACTTGGTTGTAATTAAAACGAAATGGTATACAATGATAAAGACATAGCAAATCTTTTAAACGAATACTTTTGCTCAATTTGATCTGTTGACTATACTAACCATGATACACCAGTTATAAAACCCAGAACCAATTTCTCTTTGTCTGATCTGGTAATGATTTAATTAGCCATCAAATGCTGAAAGGCACCACGGATTCTGTTTATATTCGTTTGGGCTTGTATTATATTTGCCTCCGTTCATCCTATTTCGACTCTTCAAAATTCAAGAGTCTCCTAAATTGAGGTAAATTATATGGCCTTCCAAATACCGTTTCGATTCCCAACATCACTGAAGAGACATTAATTGTCGAAATCCGGATATGGTGTACCAATTTTTGCACCTCATGTTTGCAGTATACCATCTTTTCTGCAAGTTTATTGTTTTCTGTTTGGTATCAAATTAATAATTAAGATCCATTTTGTTACATCTGGTGATCCGTTTATTTGGCCATCGCCATGGCAGTCAGCGGTGTTTAAGAACATCCGTTGTTCGACCTGCTAGTCAAATGCGTTTTGTTAAAATATACTTTTTCACTTTTTTGGTCTTTTGGAAAATGTTGTTTGTGCTGTATTTAGACCCCTCTACCAAGAAATTTGTTTTGCATGCACACGTATAAAAATTGCGGTTTTTATCTAAACGTTACACAATCATAACGTTTGAATGATGTTTTCAATTTAGACTTGAACATATTTATAATAATATATTAGAGCACTCATTATCATATGCATACCAGTCAGGGTTTCTTAAAGGCCATTCGACTATTTACCAACTCTTGGAAATCTAGGGTTTATCAAAACCTAGACAAAACGTTATCTACCATTATAATATTTTGTGATATATCAAAAGCCTTTGATAGAGTATGGCATGTAGGCCTTATTCAAAAACTACTTTCATGTGGAATATCTGGTAAACTATTAGACTGGGTTAAGGACTATATCAGCAACAGAAAGCAAGTTGTTTTTATAAACAATGAAACTTCAACTCAAGGCGAAATCAAGGCAGGAGTTCCGCAGGGTTCTGTATTGGATTCTCTACTATTCCTTTTATATATTAATGACTTTACAGATAATCTCCATAACCTGACCCGTTTATTTGCAGACGACACCTCGCTCTCATATTCTGGTAGTAACTTTCAAACAATTGAAAGTGATATTAATAAAAACCTTTTTAATTTAAATGAATGAGCCAAACAATGGTTGGTAGATTTTAATCCAAAGAAAACCAAAGCATTGGTAATTGCAAATGTTAAACCACCAGTAATGAATATATTATTTAATGGTGAAAAAGTTGAAACTGTTAAATGTCACAAGCATTTAGGTGCCACACTTTCATCAGATGGAAACTGGACCAGCCATATAGATAATATTACAAAGTCTGCATTAAAACAAGTAAATGTACTAAGGAAACTAAAATTTACACTTTCCAAAAAAAAGCTTATCCAATATCTATGTCACTTTTATAAGACCACTATTGGAATATGGATGTGAAGCATGGGATGGGTGTTTTGAATATGAATCTGATGGAAAACTAGAAAAAATACAACTGGAAGCTGCAAGGATAGTAACAGGGCTTACACAATTTTCAAGTTTAGAATCCTTATATTTTGAAACGGGCTGGGAAACTTTATCAGAAAGGCGTAGACAACGAAAATTAACAATTTTCTCTCAAATGCATAATAAATTTTGTCCCCAATATTAAATCGACTGTCTACCTCCAGTTACATATGATATCAGTGGATACAACGTAAGAAATAATGATAATTGTTAATCCCCTAGAAGTAGACTACGAATAACTGAAAAGTCATTCGTACCATCTACTGTCGGAATATGGAATAATTTAAATCCTACTATAAGTAACGCACCAACTATCTCACAATTCAAACGAAAAATAAAGGGTGAACCATTTAGACAACCAACATATTATGGTGAAGGGTCTAGAAAATTTAATATTCTGCATACAAGACTAAGACACCAGTTCAGTTCATTAAATGCAGACTTAAATAAGAGCATTTTCTCTGTGCAGAACTATTTTATACCCATTTGATCTTTTCTAACTCCTCTATAGAAAATTTCTCTTTCTGCAAAAATTCCAATTTAGTCAGTAGTCTTTAAGCTTCCTAAATGCTAGTTACGTTATGTTTCGACCAAATTTAAGTTTTGTTGAACAGTTGAATAAAAAATTAATTCAATCGAAAATTCTTCAGAATTTGTCAAGATTAAAACACTGCTCCTCAAGCTTAGAATATAAAAGGTATATGAGCCTTTCATTCTCCTCAGATTAATATCAGCTGCGTTCATTCTGTTTAAAATGGCACGTGTGGATAGAAGTGGTTGTTGTTTCATGTTTCGAGGACAAATTATGATGGGATAAAAACACATTATTCGATTGATGAACAGAGACGTGGAATTTAAGTCCATTGAGACAAGAAGATGTTTTAAGAGTTTAATAATTTCTTATGAAATCGCACGATTGGTGAAAAGCTTGTTAAGACCCCCTCTGTTAAGTCAATTATTCTTGTGCACTTAAGCAGAGACATATATACACATATGTGTATATATGTCTCTGACTTAAGTTATTATTAATTGGCACATATTTCATATAATTTCTTATTTATTGCTTTCTCTTTTTAGGCGGTTAAAGTCCAAAAAAATCATAATATTGTTTGAGTGGAAATATTTATAGTATATTTATTATATTTATTACTGGTAAATTCGTCTACAAAATCTCGCTGCGACATAGCCCATGTGTGCCACCCCGGCGTCAACCGCCACCAATAAACTTGTTTTCTATTTGTTTTCTGGCCTTTTTTTATTAGTTGTCGCTAATTTTTGATTATGTAATAATTTTTAATCAAATTTTAGTGTAACCACTTTACGTTCGTTCAAATGTCTTCCATCACTGAATATCCTAGGCCTTTTTCAGTTAGATAAAAAGTGGAGAACAGCGATTATGGTATGATTTTAGAGATTTTCTATACGAATTAGTATATAAAACAGCTTATACTAGAAAAGTTATATTCACGCTAAACGTCACGTGCTTCTACGCGTATAATAATGGTAAAATAATTAATGATTTTGGTAAATAATTGTTATTTGAAAATTTTCAAACTTTTTTTTTCTCGGACCATGTATATCATCAACCCCAATGGGGTATAATAGTGCATTATTTTAATAAAAACATAAATGTCTTTTGTTTCGGTTAATATGTGGTTAAATTGACTTTTAAAACATTGATATACATACAATTTGGTTGTTGTCCTCAGTGAATATCAGTTTTTTAAAACTCAATAAATCCACGTATTTACCTCAAAACACAGTAATTGTATAGTATTGATGAATGACAGGTATTTTTTCAGCAAAGTCGATATATCCGACGCAATATGCAATTGTGAACACGCAGGTCTAAGTCCTATTGAAACTTTCTTCCGAAAATGTTCGTGGGTGTATTTCCCTGTTCGTAAAATGTATTGTTACTTAACAAACATTCCGTTTCAAAATGGCCATATTTTCATTACAATAATATAAACAAAAATATTAACAGGTATGTATCATATGTATTCTGTATTTTTTTCTATTTTTGACGAAAATTATCAGGGTCCGGATGGGGTTTACAGATTAGAGAATAATAGGCAAATTGTGCAGAATGACTGGCAAAAAAATAATAGAAAAAAATGGATAAAATCTATAAAGAATAGAGAAGAAGGACATAAAAATTAGATAATACAGGCCCTCAAATACTCAAATATGCCATGTGATGCAATACACTCTTTTCCATATTTTCCTGTAAGCTTCTCTTCAATTACAATTTTGAATTGGAATTGGAATGTCCTTCGCAGCCATTTTTTTTTTATATTCATGATTTGTCACACTCTATTAACAATAGTTGTTTAGGGACATCTTAAATGATGTCGTCAAAGAATCTAGAATAGCTTACCTTTCCGGGAAACCTTTATTCATCCCCGGTGTTTTGTGGGGCTCGTGTTGATCCATCTTTGGTTTTCTGTGTTTTGTTTTGTTGACTGTTGCTAGTCTGTTCGTCTTTTTATGATTTTTGATTGCATTTGAACATTTAACAAAGAATTCTGCTACAACCGGTGCTATGTATAAAGATAAGAAGATGTGGTGTGTTTGCCAGTGAGACAACTCTCCACCAGAGACCAAACGACATAGAAGTTAACAACTATAGGTCACTGTACGACCTTCAAGCTATATAAGACCCCAAAATGACAAATCTTAAACTATTCAAACGAGAAAACTAACGGCCTGTACAAAATAAAGAACGAATATAGTGTTACTAACTTGCTGATCCTGTATTGGCCCATGTATTGATTCAGGTCCCGAGGGCGGAAGGACCGAGGGCCAATACAACTGACCGAGAATCAATACAGGGCCGATACAGAATCAGCAAGTTCGTAACACTTTTATTAAATAATCAAAACAGTACATATGGTTGGTCCGTATGGCCAGTCCGTATGGCAGGAAGTAACTACAGCTGGTCCGTATAGCCAGTCCGTATGACAGGAAGTAGATACAGCTGGTCCGTATGAAAAAACTTATTAACTAGTGAGTTGATCTTTAACTCCATATTAGTCATGCTGATTTTAGCATATTAGGGCCAATTAAACATATCATTTAATAAAAACAAATTTGATATACAGCAACAAACGACAATCACGGAAATACATGTTCCTGACTTTGGACAGGCACATACATAATGTGGTGGGGATTAAACTAAGACTAAGGTATGGTTTAAACTTTCAATGAGTTATGAGTTTATATTCCGTGTAGATGTCTGTCTCTCTTTGACTTTAAAAAAAAAGAACAGAAATTAAAATCGATGTTTCCTTGCATCGTGTTTTTGTCAGTTCTTTTTTAGCCTGGTGTATTTAGGATCTTGTGTCGTGAATTAATACATCAGAATCCTTCTTTTCCATTGGTAATTACTCAGGTGGTAACCTTTAAAATCTGGATGTGACATTTTGTCGTCAAAAATTAATGTTATCTTTTTCTTTCTATTGGATACTATGAAAATCGTATTGTCAAATGTGAGGCAGCAAAGTACATCATGAAAACATGAGATGGCTTTAAAACGGCAAAATCATGAACGGCTAATTTTACACGAGGGAGTTGGAACTGTATCTAAAAAATGTCTGCTTTCACGAAAGTGGTACACAACAAAAATCCTCTTTTTATAAATGTAGTTCCCGATTTTGAACCCAGATTTTTCCATACTGGGTCATACGTAAACTTTAAATTTCATTTTCATGTTCAAATCTATAACAAGGTAGTAAAGATATATCTAAGTTATGATAGATATTGTTCTATTTGTAAGGTAAATGACATCTAAATAGCCAATAAAGGAAAAGGAAATTGATAGTTAAGAAAAAATGAATGAAAATTTTCAACTATATTAACATGAACTATAAAAACACTTCCTTTTATATTATATTCGTGTTAAACTGTGTTATTCTTTACTAACCGTAATAAGGGGAAATATAGAAAAGGTTAAACGATACTATTAGGACAATCCCATTTTAGATTGTTCAAATAAACATTTACATTTTAAAAGGATGTCAGTAGTAAATAGTGAATAAAAAATGTATTTTCTGTATATATGTTTTTAATTATGACATAATTGCTTCATAAAAAATATTGTACAAGATAGACCATAAACTATGTCACGCCCTAGAAATGAAAACAAGAAAAACAAGATATTGCAAACCCACACTGATCATGATCTTGTGATTATTTAAATTTAATAAAACCACAAATCTTTTTTAAAGTTCCTCTTTGGTTTTTTTCGGAGAATAATAATAAATTCGTCGAATTATTCCTTATTGAGAAAAACATCTGATTAAGGAAGAACATTTAAATTATGAATATATGTTGATTATACTTCATAAAGCATTGGGTAAGTGCAGTAAACTTAAAAGGCAAAATATTCTTCAAATTTATATTCGCAGGTATATAATTTCCAGTCGTAATACGTTTTGTCTCGTTGGAAGAAAAGGTAAATTGGATTGTTTACACGTGGTAAAAAGGTTATTTTTTTATTTGAGTGGCCACAAATTAAAGAGAAACAAATGAAATATCATTGAAAAGAAAAATATGGACAGAATAAAACAAACGAGGGAAGAAAAAACAATAGCAAAAAAATTCAAAACGAAAATAAAAAGAAAACCATGTTAAGTCACCATGAGATGGTTTGATCCTTTATCTTAGTAAATCTGTATGATTTAATAAAATGAAAAGTGTGTTTTTTTTAATCTAGTTTGAGAAATGAGAAGCTTATTTGATTTCTTTGCTTTTTACACTGTTATTTTTCAAGTTGCAAGGATTTCAAGAAAAGATAGGTTTCCTTGAACGATATTTTCCAAGAAATCAGGTATATGATAAACACTACTTGTAGTCGGTTCATTCTAAGATAAGAAGAACTCAAGATGAAGTTCTGAATTCCGTCTAACAAAATAACAATGCCAGTCTTTTTTTAACAGATAATCTGAGAAGAATGTTGAAATGGGAAATTGTGTAAAATGCCATCTAGTTCGTGACTATTCAGAACCCAGATATCCGACTGAAAACATGCATTCGGAACTCTTCCTATCGGAGGGAAGTTTGGTGAGCTGTGATTCAAATTGTTCGCAGAGTACTCTGAATGAACCATCAATGTTTTCTTTTAAAAGTGGGATAAAAACCAATAATGTGTACTACGAAAATGATGCATGTATTATTTGTTTAGAAAAATACGATGACAAAGTACACAATCCATTGATTTTGCCTTGTGGACACATGTTCTGTGCAGTGTGTATTAGAATGATGGCAAAGAAAAGACGATTCAAATCGATCAGATGTCCAGTGGATCGAGAGAAACATCATATTACTAAAGATGTTTCTCGCGCAGGTATATTAAAGATATTTTAAAACGAAAATTCTTGATAAAAAAATTAAAAATGTTCATACTTAAATATGAATGAAAACCATTCACTGTAATTTTTCTGAACCCAAAGATATCATCCGACAGGACAAATAAACCCATTCTAAAGAGCGGCCTTTTTTGGCTGTGCGGAATGTACAAATACCTTAACAACTATTTTAAGGCAGGTTTTAGACTCGGGAAGTTTTAGACCTTGACTCATTGTGTCGACTCCTGTCTATTGTTGAAAACTTTGTGTTGCCGTCTTAATGTATTTAAGTGATTTTTTTCTGTTTGGTTTCAGTCTAAATAAAGTTTATCACAATTTTCTTTTCATTCGTTTGAAATATCTGCCACTGGATGTTAAACACTCAATCAATCTTGACGTAAATACCAAAATCTTTGAAATTGAAACTTCTGAGGAAAAGGAAATGAAAGCCTTTTCGGCGTCTCTTTACGTTTAACCATTAAAAGATTTTGTTTTACATTTATTATTTTTCAGACAGCTCTTTACGGACTTTTGATACAGAAGCACAAACAATACATATGAGTGACATCCTTTCATTGAGTCATATTGATCAATCTTTAAATGACCAGCAAATACAATTGAACCAACATACAATAGAATACTTGGATTCATGGTATGCTCATGGCTTACAACAATCACTAGAACTGTCATCATGGGAACCAAATGAGCACCATTCTCTGCAAAGTTATTGGGAAAGATAAAGACTCTGAACAAACAGAATCGTAGCATATGATTGGTGTGATGCAATTATCTTCAAGAACAATTTCAGTGCTTAAACAAAACATAAAAAAATTAGTCATTTTGCTTGTATCTACCTCTATTTCCATCATCGTATGGATATGCTTTTTACTTATTTTATTTTCATACCTCGTTTACCTACAAATATCATAGGACAAACCATGTAATCTTTTCTATCTATTCTTGAAAATATTTCTTGTGACATTTGTACCTCAAATATGACTTAAATCCAGTAAAAATATACATGCATTCCTGTTTCCACTGTTGTGGTCTGTATTATGAAGAAAACATATTAATAGGTTTATCAAGTCTCATTTATTATTATATTGCAGGTTGTCCTTAAAGCTCGTTTATTATTTATATATTGAAATTAAATATGAGATTTGATATCAAGCGATATCCAACGAGTTGTTAAACCTTATTATCAGGTGTGGGAGGGTTGAGGATTTCGGAAGTGAATATTCTGGCTTGCTAAGAACTGAAATAAAATAACCATGCTCAAAACAGCATGAAAATGTATATTTTGCTCAACAAAATGCAAGATATGAATCTGTTAAAAAATTAGCGAGACTCGCAAAAGGTGAAAATGAATATTCACTTAAAAAAACTCCTGCCTCCATTTTTCGTATTACTTATTCCTTTCAATCCGTCCAGTGTTATAGCGTAATATCTCCACATGCGGAATAAGATAACAGGCCAAAACCCAAAACCATAAGAGTACTTCTTGGGGGAATTGTACTTATAATCATTGATTTATTTTGGTTGTTTAATCTCTAAGGGTCATCTGCGTCAGTAATAGTTGGCTTTAAGGTGCTTTCTTATATTCATAATTTCAGTAATCCCTGAACACCAAACATGCTTCCAAATCAATTGCAAACTGGGTTTTTTTTCCAATCTCAAAGGGGATGATTAGGTAAAAAAAATATGTGTCGTAGGATATTGAATTGTATATATTGTTCCTTATTTCTTTATGTTTATAATCCATTCCTAATGTCCCGAAACTGAAGGTATGCACTACCCTACTACACATATGAAACAGTAAATCTTAGGTCAGCTCTAAAATTTAGGTACAATTTATTTTAAAAAACTTATTGAGGGTTTAACACATCATTTTTGTAGCACTCCACTTTTCTGGTATTTGAGCTTGTACTTCTGCTTTGCTACTATTATGCTTGACCTTTTTATCATACTGCTTCTCAAACTTATTCGAATGTATTCGACATTCCTAAAAAATGACGTTCTATGTTGGCTGTATACATTTTACAATCCAAGCCAAAATTCGACCAAACATCTTTTTGTAAAATATAAAAACTCAAAATTACGTAATATTATATATATAATTTATGTTTCTTTCAAAATCATCTGATATATGCATACTAAGCAACACATTTTAGTTGAAGGCATAGTCACAAAGATAAGGATACCCTGTCACTCACTGTTTTGAGTGCATATTATATATGGTAAACAAATTTTAGATTATATTTAGGAATATTTAGGAGATAAAAAATGTTAAAAGTGTCAATACTTTCCCTGAACTATGGTAGACATAAATAATAAGACTGGTATATATTGTGGTCTGACCAAATAATGGCCCGAGTTCGAAAATTAGCAATTCTTAATTTCACACAGTTTTTTGCATTGTTTTGTACATGGAGCTTACATATGCATAAAGTCAGTTTTGATTTGTTTGTTTCTTTTGAATGGAATTTTATGAAAATCTTACTGAAAAATGACAAGAAAGTTAAAGGAATGAAGGCTTTTTACGTATAGTGTTTTGACAGAATTACCGTATGCTCTTGAGTTCTATTGATGAATGTGGCACTAGTTCTATTCAAAACTATTAAAAGTTCATGAAAATGTATGTGCGCACAGATACAGCCATCTAGATACCAGACGTATATTTACAAAATCGATGAAGACAAAACTGAACGTTAAAAATAAATTGTGTAGAAAAACATAAATCGCATGAGCATGCTTTATATTATTTGAACTATAAAATTTTCTAAAACTAAAATAGTTCAGAAAATATCACTAAAATATCCAATGTACTGGTAGGATTTAGACGACATTTAAGCACCATCGTTTTCTTCCAATATCATTATGGGTGTCATGATTTCCAGGATATGATGTAAATATATCAAAATCTGCTATGTCTGCCTATTTCACAATTACAATTTGGACATATATGTACAACGTCCTTGGCACTTTTAATACAAAATGGAGCAGCGCAGCATCCTAAGAAAAATCTGAAATATAACAATATAAAAATAAAATAAGGAGATGTGGTATGATTGGCAATAGGACAACTATGCACCAGAGTTAAAGCGACGTAGAAGTAAGCAGATATAATTCACCGTACGGCCTTCAACAACGAGAAAGCCCATCATACCGTATAGCCAGCTATCAAAGACATCAGCAAGAAATATGTGAAACAATTTAATTATCGAAAAATAAATATGACAGACATGAACCAACGACAACCACTGAATCACAGGCTCCTGACTTGGAATTGTGACGGGATAAAACATGTTTGTGAGCGCTCAACCCTCCTTCTTACATGGGACAGTGGTGTAACAGCACAACATGAGAACAAACTAAAAATCAGTTGCAAATGACTGAACTCTGTAGATCGGTACGCAGCACAAACAAAAAAACTCAACTAACATGAAAACAATAGACACAAACAACCTATATAAGAGTACTCGCAGTTACCGAACGCTAGTTCAAAGCAAATTATAACAAATAAATAAATCATATTCCCATAGACTAAAGTAGTAATTAGTATACATCCAACGGATTTAGTGTAAAGACGTCATAAACAGTTTGTAAACACGTTTCAATTCAATAACTTGTTCAATATCACTTTTTTTTAAACTTTATATTTTGTTCTGAATTTGCATGAAATATTTGCAACTGAAAGTTGAGGTAAATTACTAGTATGCTTGAAACATTTGCCGTTGAACTAACTCAGCCATGTTAAGGGGACGACCATTTGATTTTCCGAGGTGAGTGGGGTGAATATTTTCCAACAGAAAAATGCAGGAAGCAATTGTGTACAAAAGAGAAAATAAAAATGTGTGCGGCAAAGCCTCTGAAAAAAATAAGCATGCGTAGAAAAATATTCAATCCACAAAAAATTCCTGCACCAAGATTGTATAATGGTCGTCCCATTTCATATCGAATGCTGGAGGTCGAGGTTCCGATCCTCGACCGAGTAAAAACAGACTTGAAAATTTTTATTTGCTGTTTCTCCACTTAGCACCCGGTATTTAGGAGTAAGACCAAAACATAGTCTGACCAGTCAGAATAATGTGTTCTGATAGGCCGACATATATTTCTGTGAACTGTTATCTTATTAACAAGAACATTTAAAATTCGGCGGCTCAGCGTGTCTGCCAAGTACTAAGCAAGGTTCATATTCAAATCACATTAATATGTCCCGGTCCTGAATAGAAATTTGATAAAGGAGAAGGTCCGGTAAGGGCTTATTTTGGCCTAAAATTTGAAGTACATCTGATGAAAGATTTTTGACATTTTTAAACACTTAAGTGTCTACTTCAGTCGATTCAATTAGTTTATGTTAAAGATTTGAACTGATTTGGTAATTAAAGACGCCTTAATTCAAGCTTAAATATGAAAAATCTATCAAATATGCCAGAAAACGTCACTTTTCAGATGGTTTTTGTCTAAAATGGAAGTTGCCGCATTCGTGTTCAGTCTCAACCTTTATATATGTTATGTATCATCATCAAATACAACATGTATTTAATTATTATGACTGAACACAAGTGCGGCCACTTCCATTTTAGACATACACCGTCTAAAATAAGCACAAATGCAAAAATTGTGAAGATTTCAGTAATTTTGAATAATAATCTTTATTGCAAAATTACACCCATAAGGGTCAAGCAATACAAACAATTACACATTTTAAATACAAATGAAAGAATGATGCTAGTACCTGATGCATGTGCATTGTATTGTCAAAAACAGCACATATTCATGTAACAAAAGAATTATTCTTTCAAATAAATAGCTGAAAGTTTACATTTTTAACATTTTTTGAAATGCTATAGTTAGGGGCCAAAAAGGGGTCTTACCGGCCCTACTCCTTTGCCACTGGAAATTAAACAGACAGCCTTCATTATCTTATTATCTTACCCAAAAGAAGCTAACATAATACATGCAACCCAAGTAAATGGACCAGCTTTATGTTCTGTATTGGTAACCACTTTTGTGTGACATTCTGGACAATCTGTTGCAAATGGTATCTCACTTTCTGTGGCATATTCTGGTGGCTGGCCTTTATTTGTTGTTTGATTACCTGCAACAGTAATTAACATATGCACAAGTGTTTTAATTGCCGATCAATGTAATTTTAAGACATGGACTACTAGTCTGCGACTGGTCATTGAATTGCTTGAAGTATACACATTTTCTGAAAATGTAGATTTACTTTCTACTACCTGTTGGTTTTTTTTCTGAAAATTTTGAAAGGTAGAGAAAACACCACAATATGATTTAAAGTTAGATTATCTCTCTTTGGCGGTGATATAGTATACATAATTGAAAATTCGATCGAATTGTATAGAAGGTATACTAGGGCTAATCTTTTGGCTCCTTCAATACGAAAATCAAAAAAGTATTATAAATATAGATGTGAACACATTATCACATTACATTGACTCTGGCATATATCATTAATCATAGTTTAATTATTTGTTAAAAACATTTTGCATTTTAGAAAGAAAACCAGTATCGTTTGTTACTGTATATCATATTTGTTTTTTCGTTCATTGTTTTGTTCATGATTTTCTTGTTTGAACTGTGTTACATTTTTCATGTCGGGCTTTATATAACATGCTATACGGTATGAATTTTGCTCATTGTTGGAGACCGTACAGTGGCCCATCATTGCTGCTTACTAAATACGTTATTTGGTCTCTGGTGGAATGCTGTCTCATTTGGCAATTATACAAAATCTTCTTATTTTTTTTAAGTATGGGCGTATTTGTTGCCTTTAAACTGGTTTCAGTTTCTGGAAGATTTGATAAACCTTCTATTGGTTCTCCTAAACTAGTTCAAAACAAGTTTTTTGCTTCTAATCACGGTGCGAAGCTACGAGTTTCATTCGATATTCATGCTATCTTCAAATCATTACTTAACAAATATCGGTTCTGATTGGTTGTCGTATAATGTGGATAGATTCGCTAAGATAGAATGAAATGTCCTGGACAGAAGAAGATATTAAGTTACAATGTGGATATTCAAGAACCGATTAACAACTTTTGCTTCATGTTGACATGCTTTATGATACTGCAAAGAACTCACATGTTTATGACATCACAAAATTAATTGTCTGCACTAACATGAAGATCATGAAGTGACCGTGATAACTATATCA